GAAGTACCGATGTTCCCCGGGTCCGATGTTCCCCCGCCTATAGAAGTGGGGGAACATCGGACCCGGGGAACATCGGTACGCACCCGCTGGGAGTGCTAGCCGCCATGCTAACTCCAGCCCTCGCTTGTTGGTCTTCCCCCTCGTCTGACATTACTGCGCACCTCAATCCCTCTTTCCACTGGACGGACCCTTACTGCCTTTCTTAAAAGTCACACAGTACTTCTGACACCATGTCGTGTTCTAAGGTTGAACAAAAATACGTGGGACAACTGTGTGCTGTTAACATGAGGCGTTACTCAACAGACTGAATAGTGAACAGCGCATGTTACGTCAAGGGCGTCAACAAAGATCATTAGTGGAACAGGATGATACTGTTACATTACAGAATACACCACATATATAAGTACATTATATACACATAATATAATTTTACTTTATTTATTATTGTCTATATCAATAATGCGCACTCCTCTGAGCGCTGCTGCCTATTCTGCAGCAAGTACACAGAGGAGTGAGCCATCTTACTCTCTGACAATCTTTGTGTGATTCCCCGTGTGAGTCCAGCGCATGGATCTATTATAATAACTGGATAGGGTATTACTAGCTTGTAGCTGAATAACTCATGTGCTCAGGGGATTCTCGCGGTACTGCAGACTGAACCAGACTAAATTCACGTGGGCTACCCAGAAATTTTCCCCATAGGACTCAATGCATATTAAAACAGCTCAACCTCAGCTGACAGAGAACCTACAGCTTTAATAAAGATCGGATTTTGTGGGGATTTTAGTGTCCCTTGTCATCCTGAACTTTTTTTCTTCTTAAATCCTTCGGTTTTGTTTAAATCCACACTTTAGTGCCACAAACGGCTCGTCTGGCTCTCGCTCTATCTCCCGCTCTGATGAACTGCTCTGATTGGTCAGAGCGCGGCCGAGCCCCTCTGTGCAGGTGCATGAGACCCGGTGTGAGACCCACACACACGTGTTTGGCGCAACGCATTATGGGAGATCATCCACTGCACAGAACCGGTGTAACGCCAAGATACACTGTCTTGAAGAGATGCACTGCCTCAGCTGTTTATGATGTAAAGCAAGCCTACGCATGCGTGTCTCACGGCAGCCGAAGCATACCAAGATGGCGGACCGTGAATTGCTAAAAGTTGAAATACGAACACATTAAGACACGAATGTCACTTTTAATGCAATTTGAGGCGAGATGTTGATGGTCCCGTTTTGTCACATGTGGGTTTTAAGAGTCAAAGTTTTGTGCAAAGTTTAGTTTAAGCAGTCAACTGCGCCTGTGAAACCACAAAGCTAATGTTTTCATAGCAGTCCGCGGCTGCTGACGTAGGCTGATGACGCGTCCTGTGGCCACTCTACACTCTTACACTGGTCTGTCGGGTTGATAATGGAAATAATAAATTTCATTCAATACATGTATCGTACTGTATTTAATATGATTAACAATAGTGTGTTCAAACAAAATATTTAATTAGATTGATTTTTTTCCCCATTTTCCATTATCAACCCGACAGACCAGTGTAAGAGTGTAGAGTGGCCACAGGACGCGTCATCAGCCTACGTCAGCAGCCGCGGACTGCTATGAAAACATTAGCTTTGTGGTTTCACAGGCGCAGTTGACTGCTTAAACTAAACTTTGCACAAAACTTTGACTCTTAAAACCCACATGTGACAAAACGGGACCATCAACATCTCGCCTCAAATTGCATTAAAAGTGACATTCGTGTCTTAATTCGTTCGTATTTCAACTTTTAAAGCAATTCACGGTCCGCCATCTTGGTATGCTTCGGCTGCCGTGAGACGCGCATGCGTAGGTTTGCATTACATCATAAACAGCTGAGGCAGTGCATCTCTTCAAGACAGTGTATCTCGGCGTTACACCGGGAGGACCAGATGATGCCCAAGGCAAGGCAAGGCAAGGCAAGGAAAGGCAATTTTATTTATATAGCACAATTCATACACAAGGCAATTCAAAGTGCTGAACAAAAGAAGAAAGCATTAAAATCATAAATTATCACAGAACATTAAAAAGAAAGATAAAAATATAAAATCCCTCAGTTGTATGCACAGTTAATCAGAACCGTCTTTAACCTGGTTTTAAACATTGTCAGAGAGGAGGCCTGTCTCACATCTTCAGGAAGACTGTTCCAGATTTTAGCAGCATGAATCTGAAAAGCAGCCTCCCCATGTTTAGTTCTGACTCTGGGCACTAACAGGAGTCCAGTCCCTGTGCTCCTCAGAGTCCGGGCTGGTTCATATGGGACTAACATGTCACTAATATATTTTGGTGCGAGGCTATGGAGAGACTTGTACACAAGCAGAGCTGTTTTAAAGTCTATTCTCTGAGCCACAGGAAGCCAGTGCAGAGACCTGAGAACTGGACTAATGTGGTCGTACTTCCTGGTTCTAGTCAGGACTCGAGCTGCTGCATTTTGAATGTACTGCAGCTGTTTTACAGCCTGTTTGGACAGACCTGTGAGCAGGCCATTGCAGTAGTCTAACCTACTGGAGACAAATGCATGGATAAGAATCTCCAGGTCTGCTTTAGACACTATGTTTTTGATCCTGGCAATGTTTTTTAGATGGTAAAAAGCTGCTGATGTTACTGATTTGATGTGGCTATTAAAATTTAAGTCTGAGTCCAGTATTACCCCTAGATTTCTGACCTTGTTTGAAGGTTTTAGGGAGAGACTGTAGGTGACAGATGACGCTCTCTCTTTGTTTCTGGGGACCAAAGACAATCATTTCAGTTTTGTCTGCGTTTAGCTGAAGGAAGTTGTTTTGCATCCACTCACTGATCTGTTGGATACAGTGAAGGAGTGAGTCCACTGGTCCATGTTCTCCTGCAGTCAGTGAGACTTAGATCTGAGTGTCGTCTGCATAGTTATGATAGGAAACTTTGTTTCTGCGTATTAACTGACCTAACGGCAGCATGTAGAGATTGAACAGAAGAGGTCCCAGGATCGACCCCTGTGGGACTCCACAGGTCAGGGCCATATGATCTGAGACACAGTTTCCAATCTCCACAAAGTACTTCCTGTCTTCAAGGTAAGACCTAAACCAACTTAGGGCGGTGCCAGTGATGCCAACCCAGTCCTCTAGTCTCTGTAAGAGGATCTCATGGTCGACAGTGTCAAAGGCAGCACTTAGATCTAACAAGATTAAGATTGAGACTTTGCCTGCGTCAGTGTTCAGCCGGATATCGTTTGTAACCTTAACGAGAGCAGTCTCATTGCTGTGGTGGGGTCTAAAGCCGGACTGAAACATATCAAATGAGTTGTTGATTATAAGAAATCTAGTAAGCTGTAGGTAGACAACTTTCTCAAGGACTTTCCCCATAAATGGCAGATTTGAGATGGGACGATAGTTGTTAAGTACCGTAGCATCGAGACTGCTCTTTTTTAGCAGGGGCCTGATGACTGCAGTTTTCAGGGCCTTTGGGAATATTCCAGAATGAAGGGACATGTTTACTATCTGTGTGAGTGAAGGTAACAGACTGCTCAAAACAGACTTCAGAAATCTAGTGGGTAGTACATCCAAGCTGCATGTGGAGGAGCTCAAACTGGAGATTATCTCTTGGACAGTTTTATCATTTACAGGTGCAAAGTGAGTTAGCTCAGAGGGCCTTTCTGGCTGTTGGATGGTTATCTGTGGATTGGAGACAATGGCGTTTTTGATGCCTTGAACCTTGTCATTGAAAAAATTAGCAAACTCATTGCATTTACGTTTGGAAGTAAGCTCTAATGGCATTTGAACAGGGGGGTTTGTTAATCTATTAACTGTTGAAAACAGAACACGCAGATTGTTTCTGCAGCCTTCAATCATTTCAGAAAAATACCTTTCTCTCGTACTACGTAGCACCCGGTTAAACTCGCACAACTTATCTTTGAAGATCTCGTAATCTACCTGGAGGTTGGACTTGCGCCACTTCCGCTCGGCCCTCCGGCACTTTCTCTTTTGTGCCCTGACCGAGTCTGCTTTAGCCCACGGCGCCTTCTGCTTATTTTTCACTATTTTAACCTTCACAGGGGCAACGGTATCCAGAACATTCAAAACACTAGAGGTGACAGAGTTAAACAGTTCATCTACAGTAGAATACGATGCATTCTCAAAGTGTATCATTTCCATAAATAGTTCACTCGTATTTTCATTTATGCGCCTTCTTCGAACAGTTGCAGAGTCCACTGGTGGTTTGTTAGTGAAACACATGTCAAAAAAAACACAGAAATGATCCGAAAGAGCAACATCGACCACGTTTACATTTGAAATATTCACCCCCTTTGTAACTAACAGATCTAGAGTGTGCCCTCTGCTGTGGGTGGGGCCACTTACGTGCTGAGTGAGATCAAAGGATTCAAGTACAGAACTCAGCTCATTTGCATTTCTGTCATCAACATTATCCACATGAATATTAAAATCACCTGTTATAAACAAACTATCAAAATCTGTGCATACAACTGAAAGCAACTCGGTAAAATTATCAATAAAACTGTGACATGACTGCGGTGGCTTGTATAGGACAACGAAGAGTATTGGAGGAGATTGTTTTTGTTGTATTTTAAAAGACACATATTCAAATGACGAAAACTTCCCAAGAGACATTCTATGGGAGACAAAGTGGTCTCTAAAAATGGCAGCTAAGCCTCCTCCTTTTTTGTTTGCCCAAATACAGGCGAGTTTCCCATAGATCTTTGCAAGTTCCAGGCGACTTCCGCTAATCTTTCAGTCCCCATGCCGTCACAAAGCGCTGTCACTCCCGTATTCGTCCCGGAAACCGGATTCGTCCGGAAGTTCAGTTTGCGCATGTCAAAAAGTTTAATATGTCCTTAAGTGGAGACTGGTTAAGTTTTAGGCGTCTGATTAAGATGGTTAAGTTTAGCGTTAAGGCTGGGTTGGGGTTATTTTATGGGAATGGCTGGTTAAGTTTAGGCATGAATAGGTAGTTTGTTATATTTACTTCCGCTTCTTTGGGGCCCTGTGATGTCACACGCAGCAGTGGCAGCAGACTGAAAGTGATAGAGAAGATTCTGTTTTGTTGTCTTCTGAAGGACTCATGAGCTCCTCCAGACTCTGCTCTGACTCCACCTCCGACCGACAGAGATTCAACTGAAACCAGAGCGGCTTTAGGGGCTCCACTGCCCAGAAGGCCACGGGCACCTGCAACAGCAAGGAGACCATGTTTAAGTCCATAAACAAAGTCTAATAGGGAACCAGACCGGGATTAACTTTGCCTCCGCTGAAAGATCAAGGCTATACTGTCACTGACAGAGCAGCCATCCTACTGTGGACTCACCACCTGCAGGAGGGTCAGTGAGGGGCTGGTTCTCTGTGAATTGAGTGCAGCTCTAACTGCCCCCCCCCCCCCCACCCAGAAATGGATTAAGGGGAAGAAGATGGATGAAAGGATGGATAGTTCAGCCTGGGTTAGTTCAATCTGGGCTAGTTCAGCCTGGAATAGTTAACACGGGTTAGTTCAGCCCAACTCACCCGCAGCTGCAGCTGCTGCAGTTGCTGGTCTAAAGTCTGGATATGGTTTTCTAAAGTCGGAGTCGGATCTTCATTTAAACTGATCCATGGAGCCTGAACAGAAGCCACCCGAGCCGCCAGCCCCACCACCCCGTCCAGACAGCCTGTAAACAAACAAACAAGTTAACAACCAGATAAACAGACCTTACACCCTGACAGCCTGTAAACATAAACACAAGGTATTTCCGCAGGCACAATCAGGACAGTTTGAGGCTGAGTTTACACGGAGACAATGTGGCAGTAAAACGGTATAGTTGGATGTCGGTTGCTACCAACCGTTCATACGAAGACAGTGTTCCAGGGGGTGAAAACGTAAGTGTTCAGATCCAGCCTGCAGAGTGGGACAACTCAGAAACGCTGCACAGCGGGGGCTCTCTTTCACACCCGCGAGGGAAAAAAGGTGTGAAATCCCCCTCTGCTCTGACCCCCACCTCCGTGCTGCTCCCCGCACGTAAATTTGGACATGCGCAGTAGCGGAGAACAAACGAAAACAAAAATGGCGCCGCGCGCACTAACTAGCTTCGTGGGCTTCCAGCGCGGCACAGAGGATAATTCTACTCCTTCGTTCGTCCAAACGAGACCACGCGAAGCTCTAGGTTCAGTTTCCATTTTCACAGCTGCTGTGAAAAGGCAGAATGATGTTGGTACTTTCTGAGGGTCTGGCACAGGAAGTGAGTATACTGCCGGGAGGGGGGCTGGGCACGGGGCTGGGGTTCGTGTGTCGTGTTGTAAAGTTTATCTGCCCACTACTGGCCGGGCGCTAGAACTACATCGTTTTTCAACCTCATGTGAACGCTGATAAATTTGCATTAGGAGCCTGGTCGTTTCTGTTAATAGCCTGGAAACGTCTGCGCAGCGTCTCAGTATAAACAGGGCCTCAAGCAGGTCAAATCCTTCTAGAGCGTAACCCGAAACCGGTCAAAACAGGAATACAAAGACACAGGAATAAAAACAAGGAATACAGGATTAAACCAATGGGGGACACAGTGATCGTTAAAGAAGCTGTACCCAATTATCTTTAAAATTAGTCCATAAAAATGCTTATTACTACGTTATATTATAATCCGTAATTTAACTGAAAACTTGCGCTCGTTGATTCAGCTTGTGTATGAATTCAGGCCGTAAAAAGTGCTGAGTAGAGACTTAGCGTGACGCCAGCTCTCCTCCAATCACAGAACGAGGCTGCGTCCTCTAGCCTCTACAGCGCTGGTAAACTAGAGCAGAATGGAGGCAGAAAGTGCTTATATACCTGCTCTGGCTGTAACTGCATACACAGCAAAACAGCCCGACCGATGTAACAGTGAGGAACTAAAGCGAAAAAATGATCAAAGAAATCAAGGCCGGGTGAATATACGTAGCGTTAGCTTACATCGCATCCTCTGGAGACACCTGCGGGAGCGGAACCACCTCGGAGACATACGTATGTCTTCACCCTGAGTTGACATTCTATGTTCGCCGATACGGAAATACCAGTTACTAATATAATACATTCACGGTGTAGCTCCCTGAGAAGATACTCCTGTTATATGATGTCTCTGGAGGGTCTCGGGGCACAGGCATTCTGTGGTCCTTCTGTGGAAGCACCAATATAAGTAGCACCTGTGAGATCGCGTGGCAATGAGAACCTTTTTGTCACTCATGCATATTTATAGGTCAAATTCTAAGCCTATAACAACAATAAAAAATGGAGATGAATATTCTGAAAGGTCACATTTGTGATTAGTTAATGTTTTTTTCATTTGGAGCAACTGTAATAATTACTGTGTACCTTTAACCCTTACCCTAAACACTAACCCCACAAAGCAATGTGCTGCCTGCAGACTGCAGAGAGAAGCTGCTGGTAGTATTAGGGCTCGCTATAGTTATGGTAGAGTTATGTTAGTTATGGTTATGGTGGGTTAGTTACAGTTATGGTTAGTGATACTGTAGTTATGGTAGGGTTAGTTATTGTTACAGTTAGCTAGCTTTATGAGACCAAGTCCCAGCGATCCAAGATGGCGCCATATTCAAATGAATGGTTTGTGCTCAGTGGCGCATGTGCCGGCACGGTCGCTGACATAGTAGCGGAACTCGCCATATCACTCGCTATATTTGTGCACCGTCTGGTCGTCCCGGTTCTGCGCAGTGGATGATCTCCCATGATGCGTTGCGCCAAATACGCGTGTGTGGCTGTCATGCACGTGCACAGAGGGGCTTGGCTCTGACCAATCAGAACTGCTGATCAGAGAGGAGCTAGAGCGGGTGTTAGAGCGGGAGCCAGACGAGCAGAGTTTGTGGACCTACAGTGTGGATTTAAAGAAAACTGAAGAATTTAAGAGACACTAAAATCCCCACAAAATCCAACATTTATGAAACCTGTAGGTTCTCTGTCAGCTGAGGTCGAGCTGTTTTAGGGTGTATTCAGACCTGCACATTTGCTCCACTTTAAACGGACCAGGATTCGTTTGGAACTCTGATCCGAAGCTTTTATGCAGGTCTGAATACACACAAACGAATCCTGGTCCGGACCAAAGAACCGAACCGAGACCCACTTTTTTAGGTGGTCTCGGCCCGCTTCCAAACGAATTCTGGTCCAAGTCGAATCAGGTCTGAATACATCCGATGTCGATCCGACACAACTCCAAAACAAGCCGCAGACCGAAACTGAGGAATTAGCCATGCAGCGGCTAACTATGCTGCTAACTATGATGCTAACTATGATGCTAACGCTACACAACAACAATGAGCCGTGTGCAGACCTGGAGCAGTGAGGAGACGCTGTGCAACAGGCTTATGGAGTTAAAACTGCTCACAGTATACAGTGATGTTAATGGCAGCATCTTCAAACCATTTGCATTATGAAAAACCTGACACCGTTTGACTCACGTCTCAAAGAGCAATATTCCGCATCATGTAGTGAATTGTGTTCTTTGGTGCCTACCTGATCCTCAGCGTCTGTTTGTCCCGTGGTTATTATAGATCCATGGTTTATCCACATGCTGCTGTCAGTAAGTTGTGGAACAGGGTTATTATAATAGATCCATGTGTGGGACAGGACACGGAGCGCACAGACAGTCTCCTTCGGCTTTCTCCTCACGCATTCTCCGACGCTGTTCCAATATTTAAAACAACGTGTTTGGCCTGTGTCATATGAGCTGCTGCTGTTGATGTTGAAGGTGGTTTTGGTCTAAAAAGAGCAAACATAGGCAGAGCAGACATGCTGCACATACGAGCCCTCAATGTTTTCCTCTGGTTCCGCGTCTATCCTCCGTGAGCTCTCTCTGTCCAATAGGAGCGCCGATCGTCACACGTGTCAATATGTTTATATAAAAAAGTTCACTTGCAAAAAGGACAGTCTGAATACAAACCGGAGCAAAAGAAAAAAGTTTGGTCCACTTTTGATTCGGATCAAGCAAGCGGAGCAAAGGACTTTTCAGGTCTGAATACACCCTTAGTTTACATTGATTCTTATGGGAAAAATGTCAGGGTAGCCCACGTGAATTTAGTCTGGTTTAGTCTGCAGTACCGCGAGAATCCCCCGAGCACAATGGTCTTTCAGCTCCAAGTTAGTGATACCCTATCCAGTTATTATAATAGATCCATGGGTGAGACTCACCGGTGTTCACCAGCGCTCGTCGGTCAGATCTTTTTGTGAGAGGAAACTGACCAATTAGATCACTCGCTTTGCGAAGGTCGAACAGGAAGCATTCCATGGCGGACAGGAAGTTCACCAACAGACGCTCACTTGCCGCTCGCTCATTCAGATGTCCGTCAACCGAGGGGGCAGGGTTAGGGGCGGCGCAAGGGTCAGAGGATAAAGGGGCGGGATCAGAAACTGAGGAGGTGGCGTCACGGAATTTAACGTTATCCTTAAAAGAGGCGGAGTCTGAGGACGACATCAGACGAATCAGACGACGAGCCAAACCTGCAGCAGAGAGAATCAGAGCAGGCAGGTTTGGGTTAATGGCTACAGGGACCCTTTTTGTGTTAGTCCAGGGACCCTCTTGGTGTGAATGCAGGGACCCTTTTGATGTGAGTGCAGTCACCTTGGCTTATCCGGTGCACCAGGCCCCTGCTCTCATGAAGCTCCTCCCTCAGGAAGCTATTGTCGGCTGAACCGCCCAATGAGGCGGCAAGCTGCTGGAAACAGGAAGTGACGCGTGACAGTGCCTCCTGAGCACGCTCACACTCTGCCTGTCGTTGTCGCCATAGAAACACCTCCTCCAGAGACCGGCGCCAAAGAGACACCGCCATCCCCTTGGGTTAGGGTGAGAATTAGGTGAGGAGCACGGAGAGGTGTGAGGAAAGAGGAGACAAGGAGAAAGAAGATGAGATGTGGAGAGGGTTAATGGAGAGAGGAGAAAAGGAGAGTATACAAGGCGAGAAGAGGAGACGAGGACAGAGGGGAGAAGACAAAGACAGGAGACGATGAGAGAAGAGATAAGAAGATAGGAGGGAACAAGGAGGGAGGAGACAAGGAGAGAGGAAACAGAAGCGTACACAAGGAGAAAAGAGACGAGACCATTGAATTGCTAAATATTTCAAAATTTAACACCACAGAGACAAAACACAGATCCTTTTAAATGGTTTTTGTGTAGGTTTGAAATAAATAATTCAGACTGAGGTTACCATGGTTACACTGTCTGGCAGTATACATCAACAGTATGTATACTGCCAGACTGTAGTATATATAAACAGTAAACACAGATGTTTCGTACCTGTTTGCTGCGTCTCTGTGTCTCAGGTTCTAAGGAAACAATTTCCACAATCTCACCTGTACGAAGCTCCGCCCCTCCCCTGGGATTGGTCCATGAGCCCGTTCCTCCTCTAGTCAATAATCAAAATAGTCCCAGAGCTTGTTAGTGCTTTTGTGTCTCATGCCTTGTCAAGACTGTCGTCATGGTGACCGAGTTAATGACTTTAATTTAATTTTCCAACCACCTGGGTCCAGTCATTTGCCATATCCCTTTGTTGAGATATGTATTGGTCTTATAGACATGAAATAAAATGAAAAAACAGTACTAAACAGTAAAATAGCATCTACACCTGCGGACTGCCCTGCCCCCCTCCATCTACACCTTCGGACTGCCCTGCCCCCCTCCATCTACACCTGCGGACTGCCCTGTCCCCCTCCATCTACACCTGCGGACTGCCCTGCCCGACCCGCCTGGGAGCGCTGCTGTCCTACACCGGACCTGTCCACGCTCTGCGGCTGCTGCGTGGCATTGGTCCTCCCTTGTTCTGTAGCTTTGGTCCTGGATCATTAGCCCGTCCGTCCGTGTAGGAGCGGATCCCTTTCTCAAATGTAGGTCTCCCCGAGGTTTCGAACTTTTTTTTCCCACTGGGTTTTTGTGAGTTTTTCCTTGCCGATGCAGGAGGGTCTGTGTGGCAGTAGTGTCCAACTAGAAGGACTGTGGTGATGATCCAGGGCACTTTAACATTCTACAACATGTATGGACATTTATCAACATTCATGGACATTGGTCTCTCCTTATGGACCAATTCATATGTGTATATTTTGTGTTTTAACTGTTGATTCTCTGATCTGTGTTGGTGATTTCTATGGTTTTGTTAAGTCCTCTGAGATGACTTCTGTTGTGATTTAGGGCTGTACAAGAATAAGTTGTTGTTGTTGTTGCTATTGGCAATGTTTCAACAGTGAACTAGCACTAGAAAGTGCTCTCCTGTTGGATTTAATAAACTGGTATTTATTAAAAAGACTTGTATTTAACCTTCTATTCTAAAAGTATTGAAACTTGAAATATGTTACAGTGTATTTATTATTATATGTACTATTTATCCATCCATCCATTTTCTTCCGCTTCATCCGTTGCTGGGTCGCGGGGGCAGCAGTCTAAGCAGAGACGCCCAGACTTCCCTATCCACACACACTTCCTCCAGCTCGTCTGGGGGGACCCCAAGGCGTTCCCAGGCCAGCTGAGAGACATAGTCTCTCCAGCGTGTCCTGGGTCTTCCCCGGGGCCTCCTCCCGGTGGGACGTGCCCGGAACACCTCCCCAGGGAGGCGTCCAGGAGGCATCCGGAACAGATGCCCGAGCCACCTCAACTGGTTCCTCTCGACGTGGAGTAGCAGCGGCTCTACTCCGAGCTCCTCCCGTGTGACTGATCTCCTCACCCTATCTCTAAGGGAGCGCCCAGCCACTCTGCGGAGGAAGCTCATTTCGACCGCTTGTATCCGCGATCTTGTTCTTTCGTTCATTACCCAAAGCTCATGACCATAGGTGAGGGAGGGAACGAAGATTGACCGGTAAATTGAGAGCTTTGCCTTTCGGCTCAGCTCCCTCTTTACCACAACGGTCTGATACAGCGACCGCATCACTGCGCACGCTGCACCGATCCACCTGTCAATCTCACGCTCCATCCTTCCCTCACTCGTGAACAAGACCCCGAGATACATGAACTCCTCCACTTGAGGAAGGGCCTCTCCACCCACCTGGAGAGGGCAAGGCACCTTTTTCCGGTCGAGCACCATGGCCTCAGATTTGGAGGTGCTGATTCTCTGATGTACTATTTATGTTAATTATTATTATTATTTTTTACTTCACTCAATTGTCTCCATAAGGTCAGAGAGCAAAATTACGTTCCTCTGAGGGTTAGGTTAGGTCAGGGGTAGGGTTAGAAGGGTTAGGGCGAGGGTTAAGTTTAGACACAGCCCCTGTGATGGTTAAATGCCCAGCCACTCTGGGTCTAGTGTCCGGACGCCCTTTTTGTGACCCAAGGGATGGTAGCCCTAAAGCTAAGCTTATTGGAAATTGCCCCCTGGTTACTGTAGAAGTAGCATAGAGGTTGTAAGGAATTACCCTGGCTAATGTTGAGGGCTGCTATTGGGTTTAACATTGGTGGGTTAACCCACCAAGGGTGGGTTACTTAGTTGCAGACTTTGTAGGTACCGATGTCAGAATCCTCACTGACAAGCAAAGTAATAGCAACACTTACTCGGATGATGACAAGAGGTATGCGGGCATGGACGTCGGAAGAGAAGGGAGAGACTTGGATTAGACTGGATAATAACATAGCATCTTATTTGTTAAGAAAAGGAAAATGAAACAATATAAATTAAGTAAGGCACTTATCAATGTGGAAATAGTATATTTCAAAGCTGGCATAACAAACACGATTTTGCTGTATGACACGTGTGCACTCAGACGCACACGCAGCTCCAAATAACGACTACGCGCGTCAAGAAAAAGTATGCCATGTAAATTTAAAAGATAACCTGCACAATCAGAACTATTCAGAGTTTCTGTGTAATTTGGAGGGATGTTAGCCATCCTAAACTATAATAAAGTACAGGTACAGTAAACATGTCGAGCTACTAAACATTTAGTACTAATACTTTAATAGATGACATGAAACCACTAATCTGCAAATCCGTGAAAATATATATTATGCACATATAAAGCAAACAAAAAAACTCAGAGACATAGTTTTATTCAACTTTGATATCGGTAGATAATCCTGACATGATTCTGACATGAAAAAGCATTCAGTTTGAACAATGTACAGCCGTGACGAAGGTCCCGAGGTGTAACTGGCTAGCCTCGTGGTAACATAGGCATACGGCATTGTTATGAGAGCATATTAAACACAACCTGGAGTTATTCTATAGGGTGTCCACAAGAGGGCACATACCATGTATAAGCCTACAATAGCCAGCCTAGTTGAAAATATTGGATTAATCATACGCTGTCGAGAGTTCGAACGAGACTTGCAATGTTAGGCACTAAACCACTTTGAATGTCTTGCTCCTCAGATGCACACGTATCTCTGAGCAAGAAATCCATCTATAAGAACTTTCATATTTTTCCAAAAGTGGATCTTCTCTCAGTAGACCTGAATTGTTCAAGCATCCCTTGTCCCGACGTCTATGGATGAGTGTGTGCTTGAAGCCAAACTCGCACAACTCTTAACTTGTTTCATTTGATATATTTGTCTGGCGTGCACTTTGGTAATATTGCACAAGTATTCCAATGTGGTTTTACTACAACTCAGACACTAAGGATGAAAATGCAATATTTCCTTTCTGCCCATTGCATTCCGCACCTGATGACCTACAGTTAGTACATGACGTGCTGAGATTGCACATTCAAGACCACCTTTTCTGGTTTTCAAGAGACCTTTAAGCTTACTAAAGTTAAACGCTTCTGCAGATGAAGAGATAATTGTGCGTGGCAGGGCACAGACTTGGCCCAGGGAGACCTTTTTCACTCACATGTTGCAGTATGTACAGGATATTTTCCTGAGGAGGATTCACAGAAATATTATGCATTGTTTGCATCACAAAGAAGAAAAGGTTGAGGTTTAAAATTAGTTTTTTGTTTTTTTCCCAAATTTTAAAATTTCCACCTGAAAACACGTCATGTAATTGTAAAGAATGTAATTTGACCTACGAAATAGCCACAGCTGTCGTGATTGACAAAGCAAACAGATCTTATTTCCATTCTAGAATCATAATTTGGCCAAAATGAAAAGCTTACACAGTAGATGGGTTGAAAAAAAACCGTACATAATTCACTGTTTGGGCCACATTTCAATGAGCTATCAGAGCCAAGAAAAAAACATCCACATTCAGCACCTGGAACAGATTTTTGACTTATATTTAAATGTTATAATATATAAGATAATATAATATCTTTTACAATAGCTTTGTTCCATTAAAAAAAGTATTAACAAACTGCTAATGTGGCTATTGTTATATACTCAGCTGTAAACAATGTTATAACATGTAATATCATAATAGCAGGCTTTGTAGGCAACAGTTCTAACCATAGTACTTAACTATGGTACATGTACTTAACCGTGGTACATGTACTTAACTATTTATTCATTATATCTGGGGTACCTAACGTATTTCTCATTATTGATACATTTGGTTTGTTTCTAAATGTGCTGGAAATGGCAGGGTTTCCTATATAGCTCTGAAACAGTTTTTTGCTTTTGTTGTTGTCACAGTCAGAGTTTTCCACTGAACTAGAGCACAGAAGATGACCTGAACCAAGCAGGCCGCACGTAAATCCACCAGAATTATGTGGAATTAGGCTAATAAATAAAAAAATTAGGGGCATGTAATACAGCATTCAAAGCATCATACTGAACCAGAGCAGACCACTTATGATGCTTTCAGACCGGCAACGCTGAAACGCACATTCTCTAGTTTTCCGACGCAGGGGTCTTCAGGCCAGAAGTCCTGGCACGCGGTGGAAGTGGCGGAAGTAGCGGAAGTAGCCGGCGGGCTTTGAGTTTAGCTAGCGGCTTTTTGTGTAAAGATCTTCTCCAATAATGCAGCTTCGCAGCGTGTCTGTGTTCAGAGACCTTCCACAGACTTTATATAACAGTAGTATGTGTTCACGGAGGTGCGCAATTAGTTAATTTTATTAATAAACGGTACTTCCGCATCGGCGAACACACTCAAAGCAGTTGCATAAAGTCACGGGAGCATGAAAACGCATATATTCACAAGCACTATGTCCCCATTGTCAACCCTGGTTTAGTCCTGATGTAGCTCCTGTTTTGGCTGTTTACGAGTATTTTCAGTCTGCTCGCTCAGAACGCTAATGTCCCCGTGACCACTTTGCGGCTCTCTGATTGGTTGCTGCACGAACGTCCCGAGGAAAAGTTCAGCAAAATTCACCTCCCGCGTGCGTCAATTTTCCGCTCCTGCTCCTCCCCTTCAACTTTCCCGCGTAGTCCGTTCGTGCATTCTGAGACGCTCGTGCGTTTTGACGCTTGAAAGCGTGTCACCATTGACTTTGTAAAGCCGACGCAACGCATGATCCTGTCTGAACGCGGCATTACTCCACTTGAACAGACGCTGCTAAAGAAAGAAGCTGAATGCCAGCTGCTGTCAGCTGATGAACACTGTTTAATGGGGATTTAATGTTGTCTATTGTCTGTATCAGCTAATGGTCATGTGAATTCCCTCTTATGGTAGGAATACAGAATCTATCTATCTTTTTAGAAAACATACTGAGGATAGTTGAGAACAAGTTGGATTTTAGTACATGGTTCAATTCTTTTGGGTTAGAACGTAATCAAAACCATGAGAACAAGCCTCATTCCCCCACAATGTCAACAGTCCTGGTCCTTCACCACAGTGAATAAGAAGGTGCAGATGCTGGTCCAGCGTTCCTGGCAGAACTCCAATGCCAGCCTCTGATTGGCCGGCTGACAGGACTGGACAGGCGGGGGGGTGAGCGTCACATTGGGGCGAGGTCTCCGGTCACTTCCCCCCATCTTGAAGTGTGCCTCTCTGGGAGCTCTTCTACACATCCCTGCTCTCACCAGAGCACTTCTGTCCTGGCAAATGCTTTTCTGCTTTCTCAGGCTACGCGCTATTTGCTTCCAGTAGAGTTTGGGATTCAAGGCAAACTCTGGACACAGACTTGGCCTTGCCATGTAGTCACAGCTGGTTCGTTTGCCGGCTTTGCTGCATGTGACACCCATGGTGAAGGCCCTCTGGTCCCCGGTCACAGCCCAGGTGCAGTGGGCTTTGTCTTTGGTCAGTGTCTTGCCTTTGATTGGCTGCAGAGAGCGGGTGGGGCGGGGCTTGCGCACAGTGTTGGAGAACGAAAGAGCCAGCTGATGGGATACGCAGGCCAGGATCAGAAAGATGGCGGCGTTGGTGAAGAAAGCCATGGAATCTGAACTAAAACCTGCAAGCGGATAAGGAGGGATTTAGCTCTGTGACCCCAGGAAACCTTTGGATTCTTTCATTGAATCGGGCAATTTGTGAAAAGCATTTTCAGCAAGAAAGGTGACATTCTGATTGAAGTTGAATAGTAATTCACCATTTAATCAAAACCACTCAATTATTATATCAAATGTTCTAAATCAAGGGCATTATAATGTAATCTAACTAATTGGCTCGATCCTAGATACCTAATTTAGTCACGTTTTTGGACATTTAAAGGCAAAATAATGGTAGCACAAGGTTTGATACAGATGCCTGATGAAGATGAAAAGTAGAATAAAAGAAAGAAGAATACAAAGTATCTCTATGCTCAGGAAAAGTCAGACATTGTCTTGTTGCTTTTGTGTTTTAATTTGAATTCATATACACTCTTTCAATTCACTCTCATATCACCAAATCCCAAATAGTTCTAGATATACATAAAAAAAGAGCAAAGGTCATTCTGTACTTCCTGAACTATAGAATTCAATACTATCCATGTGATCATTGATTTGCTCTTTCATTTTTAGTTTTTAGAAGGTGATCCACTGTGAAGTTTACATAAAGTTTACTTATAATCTTAAATGTTTACTCAACTCTGTACTGAAGTACTTTCTACATTGGACATAAAGTGCTTTGCAGATAGAAGCATGACACACAGAACATGGACCATGAGCGTTAGAAGTGGTGAGCCCTGCTTCAAAGTTCATGAAGACAGAGTTGAAATGGTTAGCTGTGCTTCTAAGTCCAGTGACAACACATTTTGCAGCTTTCTACATGTGAATACTTCCAGCACATAAACAGCATATACAGTATAACGGTATGCATATTAACACAAGTAACAAGCACAGCAGACTTTCTAAACTTTATATTCATTATTTTATTTCCAAGTTTCTATGTGAACAACATGGATATAACAGATAATGTGCCATCCAACAATATACACCCTTCCCCCTTTATCATATCTTCACGTGAAATAATTGTTTTACTCATAGATCTCAAGCGCAGCAGCACAGTTTTAAACATGTAAATACACTTTTTGTATTTCATGTATTTTATGGTACTTGTATGTTATTTAACTGGTATCAGAACTTTCATTCTATTTCTATTGTTTTCTTTGTTTACTCTGATTTTAAATCCAAATATCTTTACTTCTTTTGCAGACGGCAACGTAAACAGTGGTGAGCCATAGTTCTAAGTTCAGACCATTTGGATTAAGCTATGCATTCTTTCTTATTTTGTGCCACTACGAAACAATTCTTCAACAGTATTATGTTTTCAAAGGCAAAGTCACTTCTCAAAAAGTCAGTTATTCAATTGAATTGCATTTATTTGTGTCTACTTTTACTTAAGTATAGTTCAGAGTACTACGTTAGTACTTTTGCCAGCTCTGCAAAGTGTCAGTGGTCTGAGGCTGCACTTCAGTGGAAATGAATCTGTGCATAACTTTACTCCTTACACTTTTCAAAGCAACAAAAGCCTCTGCCTCTACTCCTCATCTCACTGCCTTCATGCTCACCTTGTCTGATTGAAATCCTCCGAGTGACAGAAGCTGCTGATTTCTTGTGTGAAATATGTTCTAATGAAGAATGTTATAATTGTGATCCCTTGAGGACTTTCCTCAGCCCATCTGGAAGTGCAGTGTGCAAGGGAGAGGAAAAGTAGGAGAAAAAAAAGCATTCCTAGGCAGGACAGAACTCACCTCCATCAGTTCTAGTGTGTGGGAGTGTTGCACTAGCGCCACCCACAGGTTTAGGTAGGTACCTGCAGCCCCCAATGCTTCAAATAATGTAGGAATCATAGTGTAGGAATACAAAAGTACATGGTGGTGGTGGGATATGGATTTGAATCTACTCAAATAATACATTTATTTATATTCAAATAGTCTTAGTTACTGAGTCTAGTAATAATCTTTCTATTTGGAAAATCACAATGTATTATTTATGAAACTATTTCACATGGGAGCTAATTTCTCTGTATTTCCTGGGCCAACCCATGCATCCATCTTATGTGTCTGTACATATCAACTATGGTCTAATTATTTTCTCATAAAGGTGCAGAAATGGTGATGATATTCAGAAAACATGCTGAATGTTAACCATTACAAAGAACTTTCAGAAATAAGAAATTATAAGGCGGGTTTGTGAATCTAATCACTATTTAGCCGTACTAGCTACTAGTAACTATTGTCTCTTTGAACACCAGTGGGGCGGCTGCGGCTGTAAAGTGCCAATCTGTGGTTGTGTCCTTAGGCAAGACACTTCACCCACATTGCCTAGAATGATTCTGGTGTGTGAGTGTGTGTGTGTGTGTGTGAAAGTGGTCAGAGGGGCTGATGGCGCAGACTGGTTGCCTCGCTTCTGTCAGTGTGCCCCAGGGCAGGTGGGGCTACAGTAATAGTTTATAGTCAATGTGTATGGAGTGAAAGAATAATGACATGTGAAGCGTCTTTGAGTGTCCAGAAAAGCGCTATTTTTAAAAATTATTATTATCTAACAACAATCTGGGAAAACTTTGCCATAGAATTAGCATCTGCACATAACTGAAATAGAACTCTATAATCTAAATACAACGTATGCTCTGAGGCCTAATAGACATAACAGCGGGGTCATAGTTGAAAATAATAATACACATTTTATAAATATTTATTGAATAAATCTCTTGTAAATGTCTTTTCACATCGTTCAATACAGTTCATGTATCTATAGTGCTCATGATTACACAATGTATATACAAATATGGTACAAGGGGAGTGTTGAGGAGGAGCCCTGCAGGCGTGCTTTTGTGTGATGCTTCGGGGAATCAGAAGGCATTTCATTCAGTCTAGTCCCAGTTTACTGCTCTGCTGGCCCTGAAGACAGCACTGTAGTCCTTCCAGCGTGCATGTGGAGCTGAGTGCATGTATGACATCTATAAGAGGAAACAGCATGTGTGTTCAAGGATTTATCAAATGAATAAACAATAATAAAAAACACAGCTGTCTGTCCTCTCACTTATAAGTCACTCCTTAAATAGGCCGATGACGAAAGCACAGACCCCCTGCATAGACTTCCAGCAGTACAGCCTGGACATCCTCCTCTTGTGGGTCTCAGCTGTGGGCGCCACTGCAAAAAGGGGATAGGATACTTTTCTTTGAGATTATTCATGATAAACTGCTGCTTTCATCAAATGTTTCACTTTATCTTTACCTGAGGGAACATGGCTTCATTACATGTATTTTCTATGGATTCAGACAGCAGGATGCATTTGGCTTGTTAATGCATGTTTTCAACTTTACCACCTATCATCATTTAATGCTAAGGTTTACAATACTAAGAAGCGGAAAAAGCATGGTGTCCACTTCAAATGATAATTGTTATATTGTTATGTGTATGTCCATTTACTAAACTCTTTTTTTTACTCTTATCTGCTGTAGCTAAGCTTGGAATATGACCACCATATTTTGCAACATGAACATGTCATCATGATAAGTATACCGTGGTATAAACAATAAATGCACAATTTTAAACTATTTGACTCCACCATAATTTCAGGAATTTCTCTCCGATCACACTTGTTGAGCAATAAAAAATTAATAAATATGTAAGCACGTCTGGGAAAATGGTAGCCCGCGAGTCACATCTGGCCGATTCATGTTTGTGCGGCCCACAGTATATTTTCTTTTGTTCAAAGGAAGGGAGTAAATCCCCAATGAAATTTGGCATCTTATTTTTTGCTACCATGCCATATATTTAATTTGAAAGCTATTTCTTCAGGACAACAGCCACATAGTGTATTTCTCTACACAATTAAATCAAAATGTAACAATTAATGAGTTTCTGTACCCAAAGGTTAAGAAAGCTGTCTTTAGCTTTGGTCCAGTTTGGGTCAACTCAAGATAAACTGTTCTCATTTTGTTCAGAAAAAAAACTTAAAACATATGAATTTGCAGTCTACAAAATGCAGTTTACCCAGTGTGGCACTGGAGAAAACAATTGCTCACTCCTGAGTTAGAGAAGCAGATGTGACTGTTACATGAATCATTTCACATTTAAGTTCTCCCTCCTTCACCCACCTCTGGGCCCTGGTAGCCTCTGCTTCTCCCTCACTGGTCCTCTGACTGGGGGCCTCTGTCGAGTGGGTCTGGTGGGTACTGGCCTCTGCTGCACCCTGGCGTGGCTGGCCTCTTTCTGCACGCTCTGCCTCTCCACCTGGCGCCCGAACGAAGCTGCAGAGAACACCATCTGTGATTCGTCTGTGGATTTCCTGCACATGTGCGGCTTGATGACCCTCGGAGCTTGGCAGGCGTTGGTCAGTTTACGCAGACCCCACATCATTTGGACAAAGTAGTGGCGAGGGTTTTTGTTAAAAGAGCGGCACGTGTAGGGCTTGCCCACATACTCGCACCAATAGGATCTTTTAGGACCCTGGCAGGACAGCTTTAGCTTGGTGAGCCCCCCTTGCCCCGTGATGATCATCGTGCACTTGTCCTTAGCTTTAGTGTTGAATGTAATCGGATCGTTCCAGATGTTTTGCCTCCTGTCTTGGGCATTTGTTTCCCAAAGGGAGCACGCAAACAGCACGAGGAGAAAGGAACTGGCTTGGGTCCACATCTTGTCTCTTGAGTGGTGAAGTCAGACTGCTTGGGTTAAAGGTCCTCCCTGCTATTTATTTGAGTAGAAGGATGGAGAAAAAAAGCAATGTACTGACTGGAGGAGGATTGAAAACACCACTTATGGCTTTTGGAGGAAGTTGGGGAATTGCATTGAAAACCAGTGCAACATGTTATGGAATAGATCCACACAATCACATGTGAAGAGCCTTTCGCAGACAGTGGCACGTTGAAAATGACTTCCCCCTCCGGCAATACCTCAGAATTCTAAGCACCTCAATCAACATTCTAGGTTAGACTTTCTAACCTTTTACTATATTGGGAAATTAAATGCTTTCTTGTTCTCTCAGGCAGTGAATTCTCTGCAACCAAAATGATAATTTAGCTCTCAACAAACCCACTTTTAGGCAGCAAGATGAAGACGCGTGAGTGGAAGTGGCTGACTGAGCGAGAATTAACTCAAGTACAGACTGCTGCTGTGGTTGACGGTCATGCAGGGTGAGCTTGAGCCATTTCTTTTATCTATTAGTAGTTTCATTTTAATTGTGTGAAAGATTGGCATGTGGTTGGGACTCATGTTGGCTTTTCCCCACAGTGAAGACAGGAACGTATAAAATGTTCAACTTTCAAAAGTCACAGTCCAGTGCAACTTAAAGGAGCAATATGTAATATTTTCATGTCAAGTCATCATTAAATGACCCGAATATTTCAAAAGGCGTTATTAAATCATACTCTTTTCGAATTCATCTTTAACTGATAACAGTAGTTCAGCCGAGATATTTGAATATCAAAATTAGTTTTACGACCCGTAAAAGTTGTTATTGTTTTGATTTTGATGTCCTACCCTCCGCCGTTTCGCCAATCAGGAAGTGTCATGTAAGTCCGTGATCGGGTTGCCAGAACTCCGCGCGGCTCATTAATCTCAGAGGTAAAATAACATGTGGCGCAGAACTAAAAAAGGTCTTGTTATGACTCTCAAATCATTAATGACAAAACAAAGACTAAAACGAGCATTTATATCGGGACGCCTTTGAACAATTGAGACAGCTGATAAAAGTTCACGTGTGATGCAGAATTTTCTAGTTTGAGTTCGTTCTTCACAGTGCCTCTGTTCGTGTGAATCAGTGGTCTAAGCCAATGTCTTTTTGTATTTATTGCATGTTATCACATTCTATGACAGATTGCTCTAAAAACGGTAAAAGATGAAGGTCAAGACGTTTTTTTGCAGATTATAGCTTAATTGTAAAAATAATCATTTAAGACCACATGTACCCCAATTAAAATAATGTTAGTCTCTTTTTGATGTGGGACTTTTACATGTTTGTCTAAAAAATAGGGAATAAATAAAATTGAAAGGTGATATCCTCTTGAGCAAACCCTGATGTTGATACGCTGAAGAAATACGTTCCAACATCCATTCTTCCCACTCCTATTTTGGACATCAATTGCTTATTTATTTTGCATAAACTATGTATAATTACATTGCTTTTATTTTGTTTTTTATCTCAAATGTCCAAATAATAATAATAAAAAAACATTAATCAAAACATTCATTCAGCATTAGCACGGCTGTCATGGCAATGTGAATGGAGACGGACAAACAACTGATAAAATAATTCCCTGTGTTTGCTGCTGGATTTGGTGTGAATCTGGCAACCTGAGTCAGGGAGAGTGGGAGAGGACTACAAAATATTGACTGTGACTGCAGTACCACTTTTGGCCAGATTTTTACATATTGTTCCTTTAATGGACTCATCATTTACATTTTTAAACATATTTTTACAAGGATACATGCATAAAAGAAACCATGACGTTTGGTCTTTACAGTGGTCTCGTTGGCCTGACCCATGTAAGCAACAGGATATACATAGTTCCCACATGACGTCACTACATACGGGGATTTGCCGACCCGGCGCCATTTGTGTTGGCATGCTGTGGGCAAAACAATAGAAAAAGAAGCTGAAACGTGTTCATGTCGTGATAAAGTTGAAAATGGTCATCTCCTGCTGGGTCAATCGATGTTCAAATCGTGCCGGAGGTTCCGTTAAACTTGGATTTTACAGTATACCCATCATTAGACTTCATGAATGTGAGAAGACTAAGCTTTTGTCAGAACAACCACGGAGGTTATGGCTTGCGAAGATAAACAGGCAAGAAACTCCCTCAAAACACGCAAGAATATGCTCGGAGCACTTTGTGTCAGGTGCGTATCGTATCTTATAATGTGTTGACAGACGTAATTTACTCAGTACTAACTTGTGTATGCTGATATCTGGTAACTTGAGAGTTTCATTATTTAGATTACTTTATTATGAGGAGGATCGGTGTCGCGTCCGAGGCTCTCGAGGGCAACGTAAATGTATTAAATAGATAATAATAGTTCTATGGTGGGCTAAAACAATGTTCACAAACAGCATTGCTTCTGTAAAAAGATCTGTGTCATAAAATAAACTGCTCTTTACGCTTGGAAAAATCAGTTGCCCACCATTCACCAAAACATACGGTCAAAAACGCGGAAATAAACAATAACAAATAGAGATACTGTATGTTATTCTTGTTTAGCGAGAATGGTATGAGTGTACATCATAAAACGTACACAATCTTTGAAAACACGTGACTATAGATCTAATGTGCATAATGGCCAAAGAAATAAACTACTAGTATTACTTTTTGAATCTTGGTCAAATCTTCTCAACTTATCTGTGGAGATTTTGATATCTCAGTATAAGGGCAGTACTGTCTGAACAAAACTGTACACAAATAAGACTAGAGATAGATATAGTTATTCAAAATTATCAAAAAAACAAAAGCTTGAAAGTGGGGCTTGCACAAGTATTCAGTGCATTGCAGTGCTTTGAAAATATCTCAATAAGGTTGAGCGCTGTTTCTGGCCGTAGATATGACATGAATGGATGGATACATATTCCACCAAAGTACACTCTGAGTGTGGCAAGGGAACAGGTCATTCTGAAATGTGTAATGGGATCTTCCTACCATCCTGTCTAGTTCATCTGACCAGAAGTTTTAGCACAATCCTGCCCACCTACAGCCTTTGAACCAATAAACATCTGTGCATTTAAATTGAAACCAAATTTTACTTCTGCAAACTTGGGGCAAGCCCAATTAAAAAGACTAGAAAGGTGAAATGAAGGAGGTATTTTCTATGAATTTGGATAAAACCCTCACACACAAAACCCCAACCGATATATATATTAACAATAACAAAAACAGACTTTCACAGCAACTTCAAAGTATAGTTTTTATTCACAATTGTACAATTTTCCTTTCGCACATGAATCCTCCTCCAGTGCTCCAGAGGAGCCGCACTTTTCAGTCCATTCATGACAGAATGCCACAAGCGCAGTAGCAGTCTTTTAGCATGTGGATACTTGCTGTATCTACAGTAAAGCACTTAATAAAACAACAATGTAAACACATTTACATCTTTTCTTCTAACTACTCAGCACGAAGAAAACATACCCATGGTGAATATGTTAGTCAGGTTTTTGTGTTGCTGATGTCCATTTGAACAATAACAGTATATTGTTTATATAATGAGAATTTTATCATTGTAACTTTAGGACTTCTCTATGATTTATATATTATAATTGTGCAAAAACCTGCATAAATCAGTTATACAGATTTACACCTGGTTTGAAAATGGTCATATAAGGTCGTTAAATGAGACTTTAATATTAACATGAGCTATTGATTTTCCAACGTCTGGGATTGTAACACACACAATTTCTTCTTGTCCGTGGGAAGTGAAACTATATAGACAAAGGCAGCATTAACGTCAATCACCTGAGATTTTCAAATGTTTAATAAACGAGAGTATAACATCCAGGCGTCTCCTTTACAGTACTAGAAATGTGTGGAGAGAGTGAAATTGTGCAAACTTGGTCTGAGAAAACCACTATCTAAATAAACTCTTTAGCTTGATCATGACACACACAGGGGAGGGTCCGCGGGGGCCGGGAAAACCAGTCACGTGGTTCATGTCAGCGATATTTTAAACACCCCAAAAGCATCTCTGAAGTTTGCATGGCACCCACACTTTGTCACATCTTTAATAGATCAGATAACTTTCTGGCTCGGTTTTGTGTATGTGAGCTTTCTGGATAAGAGCAAGGATTGTACATGAATAAATAAGAGGTGACTAACAAAAACTGCAATTTAAAAAAACACCCACAGCAGAATCTTCAATATCAATATACTTATAACAACTTAAATCAATAAAAGTTGGCTTAAAAAAAATAAAAATAAAGCAGCAGTCCTCATGAAAATCAATGACATTATGTGAGTTTCTTTAAAGGACATACAAGCAAACGGTTCAAATTATTTTTCGAGTGTGATGCTCAATTAAAATAGCTAAAAATAGGTTAGCTCATGTTAGGCCTGTGTGTAAATGTTCTTGATAAAAAAAGATACATTGGGCAAGCGCATGGATATGTTTTCTCCCAGTGCAGGTCATCACTGAAGCAGATTCCTACAAGCATCCTTTTTGATTGGCAGCGTTCACAAGTCCATTCATGAATTGTCTTTCCCGGACAAAACAGTTGGACAAAACAAGTTCAGGCGGCAGCACGATGCAGCACACAGACCCCAGCTAACGCGATCCGCGCAGGACAAACACAACATCTTTGATTACATTTTGCAGTTGAACAGATGTTGAATGTATAAATAAGATTATGAACTGAGCACCTGAGACCTCTTGTCCTAGTCCTAAAACTGTATACGGGACAATCAAATGCTTTTCTTGACTGAATAACTGTAGCCCTAAAACATGCATCTTTCTTTCAGTTCATTACAATTATGTTAATCCAACAAAGTAGATTGTAGTTTTTGCTTCATATAAATAAATGCAATGCAAATAAATATTTAACAAAACATACAGGGGATGTCTTCCCTCTTTTTTGATTTATATTTTAGTGTTCTGGACAGTAGCAACAACACATAATCTACAGCTTACCACAAAGATTTTAGAGATTATAATATTTCCTTTAGCCTATATAGCATCTATTTATGTTAGCATCACTATTTGCAATTTAGAATATATCTTATGAGCGTAACCGATCTTTTTCAGGTCTGATTTTGATATTTACTAGTTTCCAATGATTTTCTTAGTGAAAATACTATATGATCAAATTTTTTTCTTAGTGACTACAGAAACGCTTACTGTTATAAAAAATATTATATCAACACTTAGACTAAGAATCTCTGCGTAACCAATTTCTGCAAAGTCCTCTGTATTGGTTCATATTGATACCAGCCATTAGCAAACCTCTGATGAGGATGTATTTTAGTAAAATCGAAGCATAAACTGTATCTACTTTACTTTCCCAGTTTAACAGGATAATATTTAGTCCCTCAAAGTCCCTGGAAGTCGTTACATTTGGATGGAAGGCCATCGGAGATAATCATGTAAGCTTTTTGCTCTGAAATTTGTAAACATTTCTCACTGAATCCATCTTCATCAAGTATCCAGTGCTTTTGATACGTCCCTAAGTGAATCCCGTGCAGAATATCTCACTGTAGTCTTAGCATCACACAGCTTTGAGCTCTGAGAGTTTATGTAAAAGAAGCGGTCTGGCTCAGATGAACAGTGGATGATGTGCAGCTGTTGTGGCTTCGTTTGGGGGTAAAGTCCATGTCATCAGCAGTATTTTACTCTTCACATGTAGGAAGCTAAAAGACACAAAGAGATGCAAGGGTTTTCATAAACAGCATTTACAATTCATGTACAGCATGTTGAAGACTTACCGCGGCAGTGAGGTGTTTAGTGCCAGTTCTCCGGGGCCCTGAAACACACAACGTAACAATGTAAAGACATGTGCTGCGCTAACGTTTGTGATTACAATAAAGGCATTTTCACTTTCGATTTATTTTGGAAATAAGAAAAACAGCCATACAACCAGTCACCTCTAGAGCAGTAGCAATAAATACATTCTTTTCCCAACTACTAATGTCACAGTGAATTGCGCATCACCCTGCCTTTCTCTGCAAGTCCCCAGGCGTAAGAAATGACTGATTACCGGGGCACGCCTGGACAATAGAAACAGTGCACAAGTTGCTTCAAGGAAAAATATCAAAGCCGACAAGACGCTGGAGTGCAAGAGCAAGCAAGGGAAAAATCCAAAACTTTTGGTAAGCCATGCCAAAGAAATATCTACAGACAAGGCCTGAAGAGAGGCTGTGACTGTGTCCGAATGTCCACTAGTTATGTCCAAATGACGCTTCAGATTCAGAGTCATTTATTTGCCATTTGCAGTAAAACCACATTTTCATGAACTTTTTGAGACTGTATTCACTATGCCAATACCAAAATCATTTCACACTACACATGATTCAAACACACTATAATGCACTGCAGTCCAACAATTACTCTGCCAGAGATCTCTTCTGTTCACAAACTCTTTCACAAGGCTTCAAAATGTCACTACATGCGTCATCAACAGAGGCGGCGATATGCACTTCCACAAAAACGGCCCCAGATTCAAACACAGCAATTCGGACACCCTTCTCAGTATTTGTCAGATCACGTGACTACTATCTAACTTCATAACTTCATCATGACACACAGATGTAGCAAAATTTAATTTCTCACCCTTCATGGGCGGTTATTAAAGGCCAGGCAGCTTGAGGATATCTGTGCAGTACCTTTGCTGTTCCTAGCCCTGCACATTTCTGGACTGAGATTTCCGAGGTTGTTCCAGGGATCTGGTGTAACCACTTCTCCAGCTTTGGGGTCACTTCCGGACTCGATCCCCCTCTCCAGCGCCTCTCTGAGCCCTTGGTATTTCTCAAGTTCTCATGTTCTTTTTTGCTGTTGTTACCATCACTTGAATTGCCACATTGACCACCACAGTTTCCTCTGCCCTTTGTCCACCACCACAATGTCTGGTTGGTGCCATTACTATTCAGTCAGTCTGTATCTGGAATCTACCACAGGATCTTTGCATGCTCATTCTCCACCACCTATGTCATAGTGCACAGATGTTTCTGTACACTATGCCAGCCACTTGGTTATGGCGTTCCATGTAGGCGTTCCCTGCCAGCCTCTTGTATCCTGCAGTTATGTGTTGGATTGTCTCAGGTCCCTCTTTGCTCAACCGATACTTTGAATCTTTTCTGGCGTGGTGTATCTGCCATGATGAGTGCCTCTGTGCTGTCCTGTAGGCCAGCTCTTTCTAGGCATTGGTAGGACTTCTTGAGATCAGCCACTTGTGCTCCCATGATGGGCCCTTTTCCAGCACCTCATCAACTTACCACTGTCTGAGACATTCACCCTGTACGTCATCCATTTTGGCCTTCTTCTTTATGTCGTTATGGAGTTTTAATGTCTCATCCTGGACAGTGTCTCTCAAAATTAGTCCTCCTTATTTACGGCTTGCGTACAGTTTGAAGGTGCAAGATTTGGGGTGCAATCCACCATGCATGATGGTGGTGTTTTGAGATACATCTGTGGTCTGAATCTGATTATTCCTGCAGGGTATCTGATCACTGGCAAGGCCTAGCTGTTGATTGCCCGGGCCTTGTTCTTACCATTGAGCTGGCTTATTAGGACTTGCCTTACTATTTGGTTGCCTGTGTTTTGTCGGTTTGTGCCGCTTGTCGAGTTGTGTTGCCTCAGCTGTTTATAATGTAATGGAAACTTGCGCATGCGTGTCTCATTGCAAGCAGTGCTCGACAGGCTGCACAAACCAGCAAAACACCTGCTTTATACCGAGATACTTGTAACTGTCCTCAATGTCTCTGCGAGTGAGTCCCCTTCTGTTCTCAAAGACTATATTGGGTTAGCAAGGCAGAGAGGTACATAAATTGACACAAAGGCCTTAGTTTGGACCCCCCTGATATTTATATATATCAGCTTTGATAGCGCTGACCTGCTTTTAATCACCGTAGGTCAGTGATGTGAATGCATCAGTCTTAATTTTAATGTGTGATGAGTTTTATTTCTCACAAAATGCAGTCTAAAAATATGGCTGAGTTGCCACTACCTGTCCGGGGAAGCAGTCACCAGTCGATATGCCTCGGGGGAGCAGAGGCCCGAGGAAACCTGCTCACGGTGTCATAGGAAGGGATGCTACACAAGACACAGGACACAGGGTTAACACTGGACCATGGGGGAACAACACAGAGGGGCGGGAAGAGGGGTGCAGGCAGAGAGCAGCAGGCCTGGACCAGACTTCAGGACCATGATTTTTCCTTTCTTGTGTTGCCTACATTTCTGTCCTCCTGCAACATCCAGAGGAGATTTTCATGCTCAAAAGACGTACTAATTCGATAAATACAATGTTCTGGGCATGACTATTAGTCTGAAATGTGGAAAGACCAGGTTTGCTATGTGGCAAATTCTAACTGCCAGTTAAAAAAACTATTTTTTTAGGTTTTCTAGTTATAATGAAAAGATTTTCTAATAAAAATGTAATACTTTCAGGATCCAAGACTTCTAAAGTTTTAAAGACTGATGGCAGGCACTCTCTGAACCAGGAGTCTGTGCACGTCGAAATGACTTCATCCTGACCCAAACAGCTGCAGTGGACATAACAAACCTGATCTAAAAACGTCCTGCACCAAAGCAGGAGTACCTTTGTGTTATTCCTCAGTATATTTTAGTCCAAATATTTTTGTTCTAAGAGAAAAATATCTTCATACTACCATGAAAGCGTGACTCGCACAGACTTCCCTCACACACACTTCCTCCAGCTCATCCGGGGGAATCCTGAGGCATTCCAAGGCCAGCTGAGAGTCCCGGGTCTTCCCCAAGGCCTCTTTTCAGGTGGCATCCGAAACAGACGCCCAACCCACTTAAACTGGGCCCTCTCAAGGTGGCGAAGCAGTGGCTCTACTCTGAGCTCCTCCTGTGTGACTGAGCTCCTAACCCATCTCTAAAGCCTTTTGCATGGATGTGAACACAGCTCTGGCTCCGGGGATCAGACAAACCTCAGCAAACTGCCCCAAACTCTGATCCCAATGATTCTTTTCAGAGCTCATGTAACGTCCACATTCTGCTCTCTGCCTGCAGTCTGTTATAGAAGATTTAACACGCACCCAGATGCATTTTAAACACACAACATGCAGTTAGATACATTTTTTATTTCAACACAACAGAGAAGCAGCAGTTTGTTCAAGTGCGTAAAGAGACATGCCTCTCTCGGAACAAAATGACCAGGTGGATATTGGTGGGGCTTTGGAGGACTCTAAATAAGAGAGGAAAAGGCAGTTCATATGCAAAGAGTAATGGGAGCAAATGTTTGACCTGAAATTAACTGGAAATGGTGGGTTATAGGTTTTATCCAGAATAAAAACATAAAAATCCAGTCAGTGATAAATTGTAAAAAGTTTCAGAAAGACATCAGCCAAAACTGACAAGTGACAGCTGACACAATTTCTGATCACTGGCGCCAATCGTTCTACTTTAGTATTAGTCATTTTATTGGCTTCTACTTTGGCATATCGGTGCAATGATAATGATTCAGCCAATATCTTGAAGTATGAAGACTAGTTATTGGCTGGAAAAAACCCATGAAGTTCAACGATTATCTCACTCAGAATGATCTTTGCATTCGGACCCACTAGTTCTGACAGGGGAAACGGCAATACGCTGAAGCCCTATATGGTGAATTTCTATGAATCAAAAAAGCTGCTATAGAGCCTGGTTCCACATTTATATTTCAATGTTGAGGGTTTGTCAACGGAAACTGCAGACACTTTGTTCCGCAGGTCAGCTATGGCCACATGACACTCTCCACAAAAGCAGTTCCAACCACCTAGTTAGATATAATTAAACAAAATCATATCAGAAAATGGTATCAGACTTGAAAAACATGGAATGGTGCGTCCCTAGAAAATAAATATTTAACATATTTTTTTCCAACCACACATGTATGAACCTCGGACCTCCCATTACTTTTCACTCTTTGACCACATAAAGTCATGCACAATCAGCTTAGAAATTCCCCACCACCATGCGACCCTAGTGACCATGCACCCCACCAGGCCCGGCCCACTTTACCTCATCATCATCGGGTTGGGGACACCTTGTGCGCGCTCGCAATGATAACCATTATTACCAATTTCCATACTGAAAAAATTAAAATCAAAACAGGCATGGGCATGTATGGTGAGGCATGCAGTTTTGTAGTTAATGAGATGTATGAGAAATACATGGATGTTAGAAGAGTTCTTCCAAAACACTATTTTACATGAAAAGTTCAACTGTTTTTTTTTTTCTTTTCAGATACTAATTGCAAATAAGCCCTTTGTTACAAGTAAGGGACACACAAAAAGCCAGCAGCAAGCACCAAGAATCATATTTACAGATTTGAGAAAACAGATAGAAACAAAAGTATGTTTGGGTGGCGGTCTTACGTTTTCATAGGAATAGTTTCAATGCTAAAAAAAATAAAAACAAAGAAAACATGTTTAGAAAGATTGACCCAAAGCACCAGCAGAAATGAGAGGTTTTATGATGAGGGGAATAATGAAGGATATAGAAAAATACAGGAGAAAGTAGAAGGAGTTTGTAAAGTGCAATGTGCGTTCCCAGGATGAGGGGAATGGTTTATGGAGAAGTGGTAAGAATGGTTATCACAAAGTAAAGTGCCAAGTCCCAGAGACAGAGGTACTACAAGAAGATCGGAAGATAAGACCGGTTAAAAGAGCAGCAGATATGAAAAGAAGATTTTACAGAAGAAACTTGACTGATCGGACATTTGTATGTAAAATATTTCTGGATGACTTTAAGTGTCAAACGGTAAACTCACTCGTCGTACACGTCCTCCGTGTCCATGCGGCGGTAGAACTTGGCCAGCTTCACCGCCAGCACCATACTGGGGATGAGGAGCAGAGTGCCGCAGCCCAGGCCCATCCAGAACGCATTCTACACACACACACAGAGAGACGTGACAACACACACACGAGCACAGACATACACACAGAGAGACGTGACAACACACAGACACACACACAGAGACGTGACAACACACACACGAGCACACATATACACACAGAGACGTGACAACACACAGACACACACACACACACAGGAGGACACACACAGACACACACACAGAGACGTGACAACACACACACGAGCACACACATACACACAGAGAGACGTGACAACACACACACGAGCACACACACAGACATACACGCAGAGAGACGTGACAACACACACACAGGAGGACACACACAGACATACACACAGAGAGACGTGACAACACACAGACACACACACAGAGACGTGACAACTCACACACGAGCACACACACAGACATACACACAGAGAGACGTGACAACACACAGACACACACACAGAGACGTGACAACACACACACAGGAGGACACACACAGAGAGACGTGACAACACACAGACACACATACACACACAGGAGGACACACACAGACATACACACAGAGAGACGTGACAACACACAGATACACACACTCACACAGGAGCACACGCACAGACATGGAGACACATAGACAAACACACAGACATGCAGAAACGCGCACACAAGCAGACGCAGATACACAGATACACACACAATACACAGACACACACGAGCACACACACAGACATACATACAGAGAGACGTGACAACACACACACGAGCACACACACAGACATACACACAGAGAGACGTGACAACACACACACGAGCACAGACATACACACAGAGAGACGTGACAACACACACACAGGAGGACACACACAGACATACACACAGAGAGACGTGACAACACACAGACACACACACAAAGACGTGACAACACACACACGAGCACACACATACACACAGAGAGACGTGACAACACACAGACACACACACAGAGACGTGACAACACACACACAGGAGGACACACACAGAGAGACGTGACAACACACAGACACACATACACACACAGGAGGACACACACAGACATACACACAGAGAGACGTGACAACACACAGACACACACACTCACACAGGAGCACACGCACAGACATGGAGACAGACAAACAGACACATAGACAGAAACACACAGACATGCAGAAACGCGCACACAAGCAGACGCACATACACAGATACACACACAATACACAGACACACACACAGACATACACACAGAGAGACGTGACAACACACACACGAGCACACACACAGACATACACACAGAGAGACGTGACAACACACAGACACACACACACACAGGAGGACACACACAGAGATACGTGACAACACACAGACACACACACAGACACACACACAGGGAGGACACACACAGACATACGCACAGAGAGACGTGACAACACACAGACACTCACACAGACATACACACAGAGATGGAGACAGACAAACAGACACATAGACAGAAACACACAGACACGCAGAAACGCGCACACAAGCAGACACACATACAATACACAGACACACACACACACACACACACAAGCACACACCCAGACAAACAGACACACGTACACACACAGACACACACGTCACAGTATAACTACACTTTAAAGCCAGGGTACCTAACTCCAAACTACGTACCACAATCCATGTAACTATGTCGCTATAACTTATTTTGGCCTCTGTCACTTCATTAGATCAGCTTTTTCAAGATTCAAATAGTGATAAAATAAGATAAGACAGACTTTATTGATCTCACACAGGAGAAATTTACATGTCACATCTGGCATAGGATAAAACAAAATGTGCAAAGAAAGAAGTGTGCAAACATGTTAAATGCAGGATATTTTATGTACAATAAATGTGGCAATAGTAGTGCAGGTTTTTTGTGCAAGTGACTTAAAGTAACTTATTGTACAGTCTGACAGCAGTGGGGACAAAGGATTTACAGAGTTCCTTCAAAAGATAAGTCAAAATGTTGTAGTCTGATTTGCTTACAACATTTTACCGTCACTCTCGACTTTTTAAAGACTTTTTTTGTTGGACAAACTCCACGAATAAGAATGGGCTTTTAGTAATTTCACGTACCATGGAGTCAGCCAGGAAACTGCAGGTCAGAATTTCGGCCGTGTCCATTATGTTGCTGAAGGGCTTGCACTGGGCAACTTCTTCCATGAGCTGGAAATGTAAACATTATTAAAAACTAAGAACGAAGAATGACATCAAACCATTAAATCAAATCATTTCAGAAAAACATGGCGATCAGATTTACAAGTTATGTTTAACGATAGGAAGGAAACGCTTGAATATGGCTTGTATTCCACACAAACACTGATATCAGATTGACTTGGAAAACACCAGTTTAATGCTCTTTCTTAGATTACTCTGTATTCAAGCAAAATATAATATAATATAATGATTAAGGCCATGTTGGAATCCTAGAAATCATTTAGATCTTGACCAAACAGCTTTTTGTTTTTCCTAGTATTTTTGCATTCCCAAAAGCCGACATTAACAAACCACCAGCCTCAAAGCAAATTCTTTCAATTTAAAGAGGCTGTAATGTTTATATTCGTCCAAACTATAATTAGGGCAGAGCTCAAAGTGATTTCTTCTGGACGTAATTGCAGCTTGTGAACATCTGAGCAGGAGCTGGAGGTGACAACACTTACGGACATCTTCACCCACTCGATGTATTGACCAAAGTAGCCCACAAGGGTCGCCGTGTACTTTCTAGTTTCCTGGAAAAGCACAAAACAACATTCAGATGTACATTTTTTAATTTTTTTTAATTTACAACACATTTTAATGATGAGTTGCTTTTGCATACAATTTGCAAGAATAGAAATGGTACACGCTTATAATACTGTACTGTAGCTTCCATATTATGTCATATTGTGTACATTTGGCCATTTTTCATCAAATCTGAATAAACAAACAATAATACTAAATGTATGTACTTAAAACACAATTAATTTCAGTTCATTACTAATGTAAAAGTGAAATGTTAATCCATGTTAATTCCAGGTTGTGAGGCAACAAAACACACAAAATGCCAAGGGGGGTGAATACTTTTGCAAGGTACTGTAGCTCAAGAACTTTGCATGCAGCACAGTAGAATTTTATATAGCATTTATATAAACTGAGGAGGACTCAGGGCATGGATAGAAGCGTCCAAAGGGCCACATGGTCTAAGCAGAGACTCCCAGACTTCCCTATCCACACATACTGCCTCCAGCTCATCCAGGGAGTCCTGAGGCGTTCCCACCAATACATACAACTGTTTAACACGTTACAATAATAAATAATGACTTTAATAATTTGTCATGATTCACGTTAATTCAAGATGAGTTCATTCATGATGAGTTCATTCATGCAGTAACGCCTGTAAAGAGCTCACATTAAATTGTTGTTCATTCATCGGAGTCCTAAAATCAGTTTGAGTCACATGAGTTCATCATAATTTGGGGGAATTCACATTTATCAGCTCCTCATGTGCTTCTTTCTTATAAAAGACTTTTGTTTTCTCAGCACAGATGCATTTATAGCTTATGTAAACTGCATGATAGACAAACACTCACATTTACGAATCAATTATATAAAAAAGGATCTCATCTTACACCTTCTTGGTTTCATTCATGTTACATTTGTGCAATACTCTTTTTGTTGGGGGGAAAAAACATGAAGCCGCAATGATGATCTAATGATGAGTTAATTACTGTTGTAATTGCCTGAAATAAATCGAGTTAAATAACTTCTTTACAGGATGATGTGGTTCATGAATGAACTCATGAGTGAACATGAATCCACGGTGATTCATGAAGAATCATAATGAATCCATAAATTAGTTCATCTAAAGTTCAAAATAAATGGAATGGGAACCTCCATATTGTTTACCTGGCGGATCAAGTTGGAAGCATTTTGCGAGATCAGAAATTGCGCGGCGTCAATGGCTTCCAGAACGGCTAAGACTTTGTTCTGTGGAGGACATCAATTCATTCATTCAACACCATCTCAAACATTCAGCAGCACATGGACTGGTCTCACTCACGGGCAGGTCTGAGGTGGTCCTCTCCAGGTACCGCATGCTCTGATTCAAGGCACTCTTTGGACAGAAGCTTGTGTCAGTTTCATGTATTCTCAGGTAAATGATGTGCACATATGAGGAGTGTATGGAATGATTAACAGTATGATGCAGTCAGACAAGGCATGCTGAAGAGTTTTATTCCAAATGATAAAATAAAAAGTTCCAATGATCATAATTTTACTTGGAGACCCATTGACACAAAATCATGTATTGTGCCCCTTTCAAAGACTGATGTTAATGTTCTGCATATTTGAGTCATTTATATTCCCTTTCACCTGAGATGCCATTGCTTCCATGGCTCCACTCTGGGTTGGGTCGACACAGCATCAAACCCACAACCTTCTGGCTAAAGCCCACGTAGAAGGAAGTCCATGTGTAATGCCTCTTTTCCTTTGGTGAAGCTTTCGGCTTCAGTAATGTATGTGATAATTTTCTTGTATCTGTTTATGATTATGATATTTATGCTTCTGATGCCAAAGATAAATGTCTCCAGATAAGTTAAAACATTTTATCTTAAGAGAAGGAGATTGTATATTCAGTAGAACATATATCAGCAGTGCAGAATGTTCAGTGATGTGGTCAGTGTATCGGACTGCTGTGGTGAAGGGGGAGCAGTGTCTGCAGTCAAAGCTCTCAATTTTCCAGTATATCTATGTTCCCACTGTCACCTATGATCATGAGATTTCAGGAAGGACCCAAAGGACAAGATGAAAGACACAGGCAGTGCACATGAGTTTCCACCACTGAGCCTGTAGCCCAGAGATAAGGAATGAAGCTTGGCGTTGAGGCTTTTTCTCACATAGAGGGTTATTTAATCCCCATAAACGTACAATAACAGGCAGCTAGACGTGCACCAGACAGGTTTCTTAACTTTTCTCCAACTGCATACAAAAGTCCTAAATGCATGTCTTATTCTACACAATCTGCAATCACATCACAGCACATGAACAATTCAAATTCACAGGATATATAGTTCTTACCCGTGCTCTAACATATTTCTTGAAGTTGCGGAAAGAAGGAAAAAAATATAAATGTATTTAATTTTTCTGCTAGCATGCATCGCTTGGTTTGGATTAAAATTCTTTCATTAAAACCTGCAGATCTCAAGAAACATAATACAAACTTCTTCTCAATGTTCCAATTTAAAGCCTAATATTTATATGTATATATTCAGTATAAGAGTGCTGTCAAAAAAACCCATATCAATATTAAGGCCGTAATTCGGGCGTTCTGCTCTCCCAAAATTTCATCCACTGAGCGGCGCTGTGATCAAAAAATGACACCGTTTGTTGCCCAGTTCACTTCCGGTTGATTTCATACAATGGCGAATATGGCTCACGAAAACAACAAACGATTGACAGTGCCTGAATTGCGTGAAAGGTTGAAGCGAAAGGGTATTTGCAGTGTGGGAAAACGAAAGGAGGAATTGTTGTTGCTAGTTCAACGAGCGGATGGTGTTTATGAAGATTTAGAAGAAGATGACAGCGAGCAGAGTGAACGAAAACGGCTGTGTGTGCGAGTGACAGATGGTAACAATGAGAATGAAGTTCAGCTAAGAGGGAAGAATGTGAATTGGACGGATGATTTGCGCGATATGCCACTAGTTAGAGACGGGAATGTATTTGCATACAGAAAATGACGAAAACACTCAACCATTTAGAGAAAATGCGCCGGGCAGAGAGAACCGGAAGTTGCGAAGGCAAGTGTTACCCATAATGCAACGCAAAATTCAGTCGCTCCCCCGCCCATCGGATGGAATTTTGGGAGAGCAGAACGCCCGAATTAACCTACATTTACTTGTAGATAAACAAGTTAAACAAAAATAACAATTGTAAAACGCTTTGTGACTCTGGTCTGTGAAAGGCGGTATATAAATAAAGATTACTTACTTAGTTTAATCGTACAATATATTTTCTTTTAATTTACTGCGACTATTTACTTTTCTTTTTTTTAGCTGAGGCCACTATTAATAGCGTTAGAAAAACTACAGAAACCATAAACAGGAATTGCACATATTCAAAGATCCGTAGTTACATCAGGTAACTGGGGTTTCACCGTTGGGTTCAACTAAGAAAGTGCAACTAAGAACAAACTGTTCTGAACTTTGCTAATTTATTTTGTATCATCCTGTTTTGATTAGAAAGGGAAGTTGAAGGGGCTTTTTGTTACCAATTATACATGGTATACACCTGTTTATTGTATGACATTTTGTATCAAGTTTGAGTGTCAATAAAAAACTATGTAAGCCGATTCACTCTTCCACGTTAATAAGAGCATTAAAATGCGAGTCAACTATGACATTCATGCAATTAATAGCGATTTATAAAATGGACAGAACTAATATAGTAATATCATATAACATAAGTTAATTCATATATAATGTATTAAACAATGAAGTATGAAAAGACAGCTGCCTAATTCCATAGTGTAATGTCTGTGCTGAGTGGAGCCTCACCAAAGCCTGCTCCATGGGCATGATCTGCTGAGTGTGGATCTGCCGCAGTGTTCCGATGTGGCCTTTCAGAGCGCTCTGCAGAGGGCTACGTGGCTGCAACACAAACACAATCAAGGAAAGTGTTTCAAATGTATTTTCATGTGAGGGTACGCACAGTTAGGGGTTAAAAAATACAAAATTCGAGTTAAGTATCTTGGGATCTTGAGATCCTGAGAATACATGCAGACTTAAGTAAAAAGAATCAAAGTTTACCCAAATTGGTAGCAGTACTAATACTTCCGGCTACTGCTATGTCCGGTTCCGGGTATAATTTGCATTTACTGGTACCCACTTATGAATTGGCCTGAGCCCCATGATTGGTGTGAAATTAACAGGTTTGACAGTGTTTTTTAGCAATCCTCATTCATAATACAGTAAGTGCAGTGTTTTACCATCAGGTCTGACTGGGCCTCCAGCTCTCGTGCGTATGACAGCAGATCCACAGCAGTGACTCCTTTGTTGACCTATGGGGAAGAAATTCAGAAACATTCATGACTCGTGATAAAATGCACATTCTCTTTATTCGCTACATTCGCTGCTAAAAAAGAGCAGTCTGGATGCTACGGTACTTAACAATTATCGTCCCATCTCAAATCTGCCATTTATAGGGAAAGTCCTTGAGAAAGTTGTCTACCAACAGCTTACTAGATTTCTTATAATCAACAACTCATTTGATATGTTTCAGTCCGGCTTTAGACCCCACCACAGCACTGAGACTGCTCTTGTTAAGGTTACAAACGATATCCGGCTGAACACTGACGCAGGCAAAGTCTCAATCTTAATCTTGTTAGATCTAAGTGCTGCCTTTGACACTGTCGACCATGAGATCCTCTTACAGAGATTAGAGGACTGGGTTGGCGTCGCTGGCACCGCCCTAAGTTGGTTTAGGTCTTACCTTGAAGACAGGAAGTACTTTGTGGAGATTGGAGACTGTGTCTCAGATCATATGGCCCTGACCTGTGGAGTCCCACAGGGGTCGATCCTGGGACCTCTTCTGTTCAATCTCTACATGCTGCCGTTAGGTCAGTTAATACGCAGAAACGAAGTGTCCTATCATAACTATGCAGACGACACTCAGATCTATGTCTCACTGACTGCAGGAGAACATGGACCAGTGGACTCACTCCTTCACTGTATCCAACAGATCAGTGAGTGGATGCAAAACAACTTCCTTCAGCTAAACGCAGACAAAACTGAAATGATTGTCTTTGGTCCCCAGAAACAAAGAGAGAGCGTCATCTGTCATCTACAGTCTCTCTCCCTAAAACCTTCAAACCAGGTCAGAAATCTAGGGGTAATACTGGACTCAGACTTAAATTTGAATAGCCACATCAAATCAGTAACATCAGCAGCTTTTTACCATCTAAAAAACATTGCCAGGATCTAAAACATACTGTCTAAAGCAGACTTGGAGATTCTTATCCATGCATTTGTCTCCAGTAGGTTAGACTACTGCAATTGACTGCTCACAGGTCTGTCCAAACAGGCTGTAAAACAGCTGCAGTACATTCAAAATGCAGCAGCTCGAGTCCTGACTAGAACCAGGAAGTACGACCACATTAGTCCAGTTCTCAGGTCTCTGCACGGGCTTCCTGTGGCTCAGAGAATAGACTTTAAAACAGCTCTGCTTGTGTACAAGTCTCTCCATGGCCTCGCACCAAAATATATTAGTTAGTACCATACGAACCAGCCCGGACTCTGAGGAGCACAGGGACTGGACTCCTGCTGGGACTCTGAGGAGCACAGGGACTGGACTCCTGTTAGTGTCCAGAGTCAGAACTAAACATGGGGAGGCTGCTTTTCAGATTCATGCTGCTAAAATCTGGAACAATCTTCCTGAAGATGTGAGACAGGCCTCCTCTCTGACAATGTTTAAAACCAGGTTAAAGACAGTTCTGTTTAGCTGTGCATACAACTGAGGGATTTTATATTTTAAATGTTTTCTTTCTTTTTAATGTTCTGTGATTATTTATGATTTTAATGCTTTCTTTTTTTGTTCAGCACCTTCAATTACCTTGTGTATGAATTGTGCTAGATAAATAAACTTGCCTTGCCTTACATGCGCAATACCATGATTACGGGCTGTGGACATTAGTAATAGTAATCAAAGTAACTTCTTTGATTACTATTTTAGTTACTTTTTACAAGGACTGGGGAAATTATATACAGTACAGAAATGTACACGTAATTATAAAATAAATTATGTAAGTCCTGTAGCCTACGTATCCTCCAGTTGAACATACAGGACATATTGTACTGGACCAACATGTGAAAGGGCTCAGTCCTGCATTAGTCATGTTCTTCACACTCTTTACTTTGGCAGTGATCTAATCAGGCTCCATGCTCCTGCAGAAACACAGAGTACGCTATGGCCACACTTCTTATCTGGCAACGCACAGCTGCCTGGACAGTGTTGGGATAGAGACAGGCAGACAGGAGAGAAGCCACATCTGAGCAGTGAATATAATACAGGTAAGTAAAAAACACTATGCTAATTAGATTAAGGCTGCGGTCACATGCGCACCCTAAAGCCCGGTTAAAGTGGGCCTGAGCCCACTTTGCGATTTGATCCGGGCTTTAGGTGCTATGTGACCGCGGCAACTGGGCTTGGGCATGGTTGCTGCAAGGGGGCTTGGGCACGGTTGAGATATGTGGGCTGCAGATGGTGAGTCCACAGGAGCCTAGATCTTCCAGCGGGGGCTTCAAGCAAAGCGCGGTTAAGTGTCTTTCCCAAGGACACAACGACAGCAGACATCAGTGGGAGTTGTGAAGTAGATCTCCAACTTCAGGCCCAAAGGCCAATGCTCTACCCACTGAGCTACTGTCGCCCCATCACAAAAATGTATATCACAAAGTATACAATTATTCTTATCTATTTGAAAAATATTGTTGTTTATCTAAAAATATTTTTTAGAACACACACGAATCACTGAATAATAATGAAGCTAGTATGTTTGACCTCCTCCAGGTATTCAGCGTGGTTTATCTCCGACAGGCCGGCCTCAGAGAAGTCCAAAAGGTTCCGTTTCCCTTCGGCCTCCAGCAGCGTGATGCTTCTCAGGTCAATCCTCACAGACTCCAGCTCCTCCACCAGCTCCTTTGTGAACTGTAAACACAGAAATGAATTTTTTTGTTGTTGTAAAAATCCTTTTCCAAATCTCTCTTCAGTTTATTTGGTTTATTGGAATGTTTGTTTGGATATGCTTTTATTTGCACTGTTTTCTCAGAGGATTTCTTGTAATAGCACTGTGTAATTGTGACACTGAAAGGGAAAACATGGTTGAACTTTGGCACAACAAACAAGACAAAAAAGCTTTGGCAGAGCCCTTGTCTTCTGAGTACAATGTTTCCTCTCAGTCAGTCCTTAAAGACAACATTGTGTGCATTCTTTAGACATTTTTGTTTTTCATTCTGGCAATGTTTTTTAACAGCACTCTCTTTCATGTGTGATTTAGAGTTTCTCTCAAAACTCAACGTTGCGCCTGAATCTGCTGCCACACTCACCGCACTATAATTGTGCGGTGAGTGTGGCCTTTATATGAATTTGTGGGATTCTAAAGTTTTCTCGCACTCATGACAAAGCAACCTCTCACTGGTGTGCGTCACCATGTGCACTTGTTACTGTGCCCCATCCATAAAAGGTTTACCACACAACTACCATCCTGAATTTCTCTCATAATGTTGAATGCTTAAATACAAAGTTAAATGACTGACTAGACATGCAAGGTTTAAACAACGAGGATCCATACAGTTGTCTGGTTTTGATGTACCAGGCGGAGTCTAGAACAAGTATTAATGGAAGGGGGAGGATGATGCAGAGTACAGGGAGGTGGGGGCTGCCTTCTCAGACTGGAGTGAGAGAAACAGTCTGATTCTCAATGCGTCCAAGACCAAGGAGATGATCATTGACTTTCACAGGAGCCCTTCCCATCAACAGATCACAGTAAATGGGCAGGACATTAAAGTGGTTCAGTCGTACAAATACCTAGGAGTCCACCTGGACCAAAGACTGGACTGGTCAGCTCAGACCAATGCTGTCTATAAGAAAGGTAAAAGCAGACGTCTTCCTGAGAAGACTGAGGTCCTTTGATGTGAGGAGTCAGATGTTGCACATAATTTACAAGTCCATTGTAGCCATGCTGTATTCTTTGAGGTCGCGTGTTGGTGGCAGTCTGACCTCGAGAGACAGTAACCGGCTCGACAGGCTGATCAGGAAATGTGTCTCTATGATGGGGAGAAGTGTGGACTCTGTGGGAGCTGTGCTGAAGAGAAGGATGAGGGCTCTAATGCAGGGCATCCTGGGTAACTCCAAACACCCTCTGCATGACACTATGGCCGCTCAGAGGAGTAATCATAGTTACAGAATCCTATCACTGTGCTGCCGAAAAGAACGTTTCAAGAGATCTTTTGTTCCTTCGGCTGTCAGACTGTAAGTAAGCAACTAATCTTTATTTATATACCTGTACAACGAACCTGTATGAGTCTTCTGCTGCTGGACACCTGAAATTCTCCTACAGGGGATCAATAAAGTATCTAAGTATCCATCTATCTATCTATCTATCTATCTATCTAATCAACTTATATCATGGTCAAAACACGGTCAAAACATTTATCACAGAGCAATAGATAGCTGGGCCCTGCCAATGATCAGATACACTGCAGGAATAATCAGATGGCCGAAGGGTAAAGATGATCCAACACATAACTGCAGGGTGCAAGAGGCTGGCAGGGAAGGCCTACATGGAACGCAATATCCAAGTGGCTGGCATAGTGTACAGGAACATCTGTGCATGGTCTGGAAACCCCAAGGTCATGATGGGAAACTCCTCCAAAGGTGGTGGAGAATGAGTGAGCAAAGTCCTGTGGGACTTCCAGATACACACTAACAAGATGGTTATGGCAAACCAGACATCGTGGTGGTGGATGGGGTAATTCCAAGCATGAGAAGCACGAGAACTACCATGGGCTCAGAGAGGAGCTGGAGAGGGCCTAGAAGGTAAAGGTGACAGTAGTGCCTCTGGTGATCTGTGCACTTGGGGCAGTGACCCCAAAGCTGGCCTCGGGTAGAGGACACATGCTTAGAGAGGGATAACCGCTGTAGAGGGTGAGAAAATCCTGCTTGTATGAAATGTGCTTTACAAATAAATTTTATGATGCAAACATACTGGTAAATGATTCTTAAGGACACATTCGAGTTAGTTGGTTTTTCTAAATTCAATTCTTGTAAACATTACTAATTCTGAGTAATGTTGTATAAAGTTTTACTGTGAGGTCTGTGTTCTGACCCACTTCTACTGCAGTAAATCCCAGAGCTGTAATCAAGCGGAATAGAGGCTATTGATCATGTTTCTGCAGAGTATTCATTTGTGACCAATATCTACAGCCACAGAGCAGCTCACAAGCACCAGCCAACCCCAGAGCTGGGGGCCAACTGGCTCCACACCACTGGCCTCTCTTAGTGTGGCTGGGTGTTGGGTTGAAACTGTGAATCACTTAAATGAACAAAACAAACAAAATACACAGATTTTAACTAAACGTCAACTGCGGCTTGGCTCCGAGAACAGCCGAAGCACTCCCAAATCACACGCAAAGATTGAGTTCTTTCTTTCAAAGGTACATGTATCTCATCTCCTCATGTTCTTGGCCAGCCTTTTTTGTTTATGTGCTGACATTTTTGTTAGGTATAAAAATATATTTACAAATATTGATAAAAACACATCATGTGTGTGATGTGAGTTACACTCACCTCTGACGTGTTGAGAAAAGATGTGATGTTGAAAACTTTGTCCAGGCGCAGAGCCGAGTAGATCCCCTTATTCTCCTTACACGTGCTGGATTCAAAATAATACACACACAAGCACGCACACACAACACAACAACACACACGACAGGCTGTGAGCAGGATCATAATCTGCTGACATTATGTGGTCAGCAGTGGACAGTAGCATTCAACTAAACTAGTCTACTCATGAATATCCTGTCACAATATGTCAAAAGAAGCCAATGTTGTAAACATGAGGTCAGAAATATTGCTGACTTTTGGAATCTAAAATGCCACAGTATTTTGTTTGCACAGAAAGAGAATTAGTGTAAAATATAAATGAAAACAAAAAATATTTCTGCTTGAAATTAGGTCTCAGTGATAGATTTAACTAAAACTTTCATAAACTTTCATAAATCACATGTTTGTCCAAACAGGAAGAGTCTAACAAATGTATTTTTATGTGAATAAATCAGACCCCAACATAACTCTTCATCTTTTGCCTTCTTGGACCTTTTTCACATTTTCATCTAAAGGCCAAAACACATGCATGTAAAAACTAGTGACAAAACCAAACTGTTTTAGAGGCTGTTTTTATTTCAGATGAATCTGGATCCCTCACAGAGAGAGCAGCAGGAGCAGCGTGTGCGTTGGTGACTTGCCTGTAAAAGCTCTCCACCGTCAGGTTCAGCTCCGAGTCGTTGTACATGTATCCGGGGATGAAGTTTTTCCACTCAGGGTTGATGAGGTATGGCGTGTCTACTACCTGCAGGTCAGAGGGGAAAGATTAAAAATTGGACTAAAGTTAAACCTGAATGATTAACGATTTGAAATGCCATGCTTGATATTATTAGTATTGATTAGTATTCTTTGAGTGTTTACCTTGAAGAGCTCTTTGGTGTGAAAGGCTTCACACAGCAGTTTCTCCACATTTCCTCCACTCACAAATATGATGGTGACGACTCCCATCAGAACCCAGGAGAAGATGAAGCTGAAGCCCACACCGCTGCAGAAGACAGTGCAGTATGTCATGACTCAAAGGTCCCATGATGCACACTACAAAATGCTTTTGTAGGGTCTACAAACAAACCTATTATGAATATGTGATTCTTTTAATAATTATTATTTCTATCTGTTGCTGCATATTAAACCAAAAGCTGGTCTAGTGGTGAACCAATACTGTGAGAAATCTGCTTGTGATTTCTCCGCCTGAGATTGTAAATGTACACTTTGGAAATTTTTTATTCCTAAATGTGTGTGGTGATGTGACAAAAAGTTTGCCAAAGGTTTGTTGAACAGGAATCCATCCATCTATGCAAAAAGCCAATACCTTACAAAAACAAAAAAAATAATGCTGTGTAACAGAAGCTAAAGAGAGAGAGAAACTGTTTGACAGCATGGTGAAAGATGGAAAAGGACTGACGCCATAAGCATGGTGCCCCCGGTGTTGGAGATGCAGCCTCTTGTGGTGGGGGAGGCGTGCTTGTCGTATCCCAGAGTTCCACACAGCAGACCCAGGTAGTTAAAGGCCAGCACCAGGACCACCATACAGCAGAGGCCGATACATGCAGCCCACCTGTGGACATAGCAGACTGTTAACTCATTATTAACTGAGAAGACAGTTCATGTTTAAAGTCCGACTATTTTTATGAATTGGAACAAACTTGACTGTGTAAAGCAATAACACATACCTCACTGTAAATAATACAAACTGTTAATGTGCTCGAAGTAAGGTTTTCTTTCACACAGCTGTGAGCATGAGTGTCCTCTGCTGACACCATGTGGACAGTGGTGGAAGTGCATTTAACTAAACTTGTCTACTCGTGTATAGTCTGTCACACAATATGTCAGTCAAGTCAATGTTGTAAACATATGAGATTGGAAAAAGATCACAGACTTTTGGGAGATATCTACAATACCACAGTATTTCTCGATGTTTTCTTTTGCACAGAAAGAAATAAGGAGACCAAGTAATTTTGCTTTGAATAAATTTCTCCTGTATTCAAAGGAGAATGACCGAAGGATGAGCGTCAAATGTATTGTTCCATCCATCCATCCATTTTCTACCTTTTAATCCATTTCTGGGTCAGGGGGGTGACAATCAGAGATGCCACCCAAGTCTCATAGCACCAGCCCCTCACTGACCCTCTGCAGGTGGTGAGTCCACAGGAGGACGGCTGCTCTCTGAGTGTGAGCATAGCCTTGATCTTTCAGTGGGGGATTTTTGGGCAAAGTGGGGTTAAGTGTCTTGCCCAAGGACACAACGACAGCAGTCATCAGTGGGAGTCGGTGGAGAAGGGAATTGAACCCACGACCTTCTGGCCTTAAGGTCAATGCTCTACCAACTGAGCTATTGTCGCCCCGAATGTATTGTTATAAAAAACAAAACAAAACAAATATTTTTGATTGAAACAAGGAATCATTGAAAGAATTATGATTAAACAAAAACTTTCATAAATCACATGGCACTGTACTTTGGTGACCACTGCTCCTGGTAGACGCCCTGGTGGCATCAGGGTGGGTCAAATACCTTTTCATCAGTAATCGGAAACTGTTGCGGGTGAAACTTGGAAAATTAGAATATTGTTCAAAAGTCAATTTAGTTCACCGTTGTAACTTTGATAAATATGGCTATGAGTCAAAATATTAGAATTTTCTGAGATGTTTTATTTGACGTTTCAAGTTGTGAGCCAATTATCAATTATAAAAAATAAAAAGCTTGATATATTTGACTTTGTGTGTAGTGAGTCTGTCATACATGCCCAAAAATGCCTTCTCACAGACAAGACAAGTGCTCAGCTCACCTCACCCGCCTTTAAATTTACAAAATGCACAACCTTATCTTCTGTGATACCTTGTCTGTAATGTCTGCTTTATGCTTTATACTGTGTGAACAGAAATACAATTTTAGGCAGACACTACAAGACACCACTCCTGCGAGGAACACTAGCGGCACCAGCTTTTTTGTCTTGGCCTACCCACTTTTGTTTTTGTCTTCTCCAGTCAATGTTTTTCAAAGTGTAAAGTATTGTTATAATTAAAACCAGCCAATATCTCAGAATCCGCTCTCAAGGTTGGCACCTGATCCACCTGCTTTTTGTTCCCAAAAACAAAAAGATTGGGAGAGTGGACTCTTACAAGTACCTGGGAGTTAATCTGAACCACAAACTGGACTGGACTGACACAAACGCCCTCTTCAAGAAGGGCCAGAGCCCCTCTGTGGTGGCATCAGCCTCTTGTACGGTGTGGTCTGCTGGAGCAGCAGCATCAGAGAGAGACAGGAAGAAGCTGGACAAGGTCATCAGGAAGTCCAGCTCAGTCCTGGGCTGTTCCCTGGACTATTATGAATTTTACTATAAATAAATCATATTCTGTGAATCTAATCACTATCAAATAATGGATTTGGTAAAATATTTAGACAGTTGCTCTTTCAAAAATAACCTTCAACTGAAATACATATCTACAACATTAGCGCCACCTATTGAGGCCCAAATGATAGTGTAGCAGCATCATTTACTGGGCCACACTCCCAGCTGTGGCGCACCTGTAAAAGTCCATCTGGTCAATCTCGGGGTAGTAGTCCTCGATCTTGGCATGTGCGTGGCTGATGAAGATGGTGAAGTTGGAAAGGCAGCTCTGCACTGGGAACTCTTTAGAAAACCTGGTGATGTTTTTGCCTATTTCGTTCACCAACGTCCGGACACCTAATACCACACAGTTTTATTATTATTATAGATGAAATATTTTTTCACTGTTGCTGTTTTTTTTGGGAACTCACTTTCCACAACACTCCTGGTCTGCTCGATCACCAAATGGGGCGTATCGTTTAAGGAGGAGTAGCCCTGGAAAAGAAAAGTTGGAGATGTTTAAACTGACATAAATGACATTCACTTAAAAATCACATTTGTACTTACTCTTTGGACTACTTCACTGAGGTCCGTTTTCAACACCTCTTTCACCTTCTCCAACTGCGGTCTCACATCGGATAACTAATAACAATAAATGCATTTTATTTACTGTAATTTTACAAATACATTCAATGTTCAATGTTCAAGGTATCTTTTTTATCCCGAGGGATATTTTGGCTGCAGTATGATCATGTTGTCAGGAAGCCACTAGTTCTGTATAAGGCCGCTGCAAATCTCAAACTGTCCATGTGTGACGAAGGGTATGGCACAAAATATTGCACATTGTTGTATTGAATATAAATTTGATCTTTAATAATATCTGGAAAGAGTAGAAGAAGAAACTTAAGCCCTTTTCCAAAAACTTGCTTAAATGCCACCCACAGCACTGCAGCCAAAATGTTCATGGGGAACACAATTTCCGAGTTCAATTCAATTCAATGTATTCTTGTCCCACTAGGGGAAATTTTCAGTGCAAAGGTTTGTAAAAGTGCTATGTGCTGTTTAGGTGCTTCACAGCTGTTGGGATAAATGTAGTTCCCAACCGTTTTGTCCTACACCCAAAAATCCCAACAATATTTCTCTCGGAGGACTGAACACAACCGTTGAATTCGCCAGCACAGATCAGTGACTCAAACCGTTCAAACGCAAGAAATGCTATGATAGAAAACTCATTGGTATTGGTCCATAAGGAGCAGATGACCAATGTCCAAACACGTTAATGAATGTGATCGTAGCGTTAACATCGCTCATGCTCATGGATTGGCCACTGACAGTTTCGACAGCCCCCAACAGGGCGTAGGCCTAACAACCATGCCGTTGGACCCTCTGTGCACAGAGGTCTCTCATCAGTGTACTAACCAGGCCCTGCCATGCTTAGCTTCTGAAAACTGACGGGATCAGGCTTTCACATGGAGGTAGAGTCAAATAAATCAAAATAAGTGAATTAAGAGTTTGGAAAATAATTCACACTTATTGGTGAGATGGACGATAAAGAGTTTGTGAAATCAAGTCACAGTCAGAAAGTCCATCTTCTCGGTTTCGATACTGCCGCTTTTCAGAATCACATCAGACATCACATACTTTTCACTTTCAACATGGAACTCACTAAAGTGATAGTCTGGAACTCTAAATGAACTACAAATTTTAAGAATTGTATTAAATTGACCTTGTGGCGTTAAATGTTGATATAAAATAAGTCATTTTATGAGTTATAATATTACGGGTAAGTCCCGCCTTCCCTTCTCTTAGCTATAGCTCAAAATCCACGATGCCGTCCAGTTTAACCAATCAAGTCATGCCAAGGGCTGTCAATCATCGGCGCTCGTGCTCGTAGCTGCTCATGCTCAGTTGTTTGTTTTCACGGAACCTCCGAATCAAGCCTCTATTAAGCTCTGGAACTACATGAAAACTGAACAAAGAATTCTGAACATCCGTTACCCATTTATATACTGAATCTATATCCATAATAATTTATATACTGAACCTATATCCATAATCATTTATATACTGAACCTATATCCATAATCATTTATATACTGAACCTATATCCATAATAATTTATAAACTGAATCTATATCCATAATCAGATCATCTGCAGATGTGTCCTATAATGTGCAATTCATGATCATAGCTACTTCCGGGTTTACCGCGATAGCTTTTTTTGTGCATTAAAACATATTTTTTGTCATGAAAGCGTTAACAGATAATTCTGAAAACTTCTGTGCACGTGTATTAATAATGTATATGTAAAATGTGTTCCAGACAATCACTTTAACCATCATACTAGTTTGAACACTGGTTACCCCGGTGAAGTTGGCGCTGATCTGCAGCTGGGACAAGGACTGGCGGATGTTGTGGCACAGTTGGGCCGTGGTGGCATCGGACTCTTCGTCGTGGCAACCCGGGTCGTTCAGCGTGCGGTTGATGCTGACGCGCACCAGGCTCAGGTTGAAGTCCAATTTTCCGGTCCCGTCTTTGAGGATCACAAGGGAGCCACTAACATTCTCCAAGGCCTCCTTGGTCTCGCGCATGGCTGTGGTCAACGACAGCAGCAGACAGGTCAAAACTAAACAGTTCAGGCTTTTATATCAAGCAAAGGTTTTAGAATTGAACCATATTATTTATTGAAAACACAAGGACACTGGAAATTACTGACTGAATCAGATCCAACTCAACACTGGGAGAAACACACTTGGAAAAGACAAAGGATTTCAGAGTGATGGTCTATGGAGCTTTTCTGATGGAAGGTTTTCTTAAATGTAGTTTTAAAAATGTTTTAGTTTAGTTATTGCTTGGATAAAGTCTGATTTACACATAATTTTAATCCCGTTGTTGAACTCCCGGGTTTAGGTCACCTGAATGTAAAATAAAAAAAGCGATATTTACAGTCTATGGTTAGCACCCCCTACAGACTGAGAAAATGTTTTATATTGGAAAAAAATATGTTTTGGGGAAATTTCTCATAGAATTTTGTTGTGGAAACCACATCAAAAACGTTGATAAATACCATTACTTATTGTTAACGATGTCGCGATGACAGACGCTCCATATTCTGTGTTAAAAGCTAAAAAGTGCTCTACTGTGTCACTGATAGGGCTCAGAATTAAGTTTTCTGCAGATCATTGATGAGTTACATGGAAAAGTTTGAGAGTTACCATGTTATTAGGTTTTCCTCTACGAGTTGATGAGGACCTGTTAGAAAACTCACACTGGAGATATCTTTTAACAAGCTTTCAAGTGCAGTTGCAAAATTTTAAATAGAAATGTATCTAAAATATATAAGAGGTATGTGTGTAATATTTTTTCTAGAGGGTAATTTAGGAGAAGACATCCAACATGACGAAAGGAATCGAACAAAGGAAAAGGCAAAAACAGTCACAGGGTCATATGGAGCGGTTACCTTTCAGGGCTCTCTGGATTCTCTCTTCATGAAAAAATAAAAACAAATTATGAAATGTATGACAGAAAATACGGAAATCAAATATTTTTATTTGATTATTAGATCTGGGATATCAAAATAACATGTGTGCCAACAGAAAGAGTGTTGTTAAAGTAAAATGTTGCGGATACATTGACACCACAAACATGCAGCCTTATTTTTTTTATTAGAAAACAATTTATATTATGCATACGAGTAAGGGTGGTCCTCTCTTTTTCACTTTTCTGCCTGAAAAAGCTGATCGAAAGAAGTGACAGAGGCCAAAAACACATGATATGAAAACTAACTAATAGAGATTAGATGGGGTTAATTTTGGCCTCATAAGGTACACGCAATACTTTAACTACTGTAACTTTGTGTAGACATGGCCTACACTGACTGTATGAATACCCTACTTCTTTTAGGCCACACACAGTATTTAGCTGAATACTTTGTTAAAACTCTTCAAAAAGAGTTCAGCTTCACTATTACTTCAGCTTCACTATTACTATATATTTATCAGCAATTTGAGTCACATACATATTTGTTACACTCTGAACTGAAAAGTGTGAAACCAGATTACACCCTGAATTGTGGACCTCAATCTGATATTTTCCAATCTTGGGGTTATTACTTTTGGAGCGATGTCATGTGGATAGAAGTGAGAGGAAATGAAGTTTACCTCCGGCCATGTTGAGCACGCGGTTCAGAGTCGGGTGCACCTCCTTATCCAGCGTCCCGTGTATCCTTCCGCCGAGGAGGGGACCAATGTCTGCGCAAGATAGGGCCCGCATCAGCAGCATATCAGCAGCGACACCTTATTGCATCTACGCTTTAATAAACCACTGCAAATGGTAATGTTTCAGCTTATAGCACTATATTTTGAAGATGTTTTTGCAAGATATTTATTGATTTATTTAGATTTTATTAAGGACTCATATGCAGGCACAGGATCCATAGCTAATAAGTTAAAGTTAAGATAACGTTATAAAAGAGCAGTGTAAAGAACGCACATAATATTATAATAAATACATATATTATTCACGTTTTCATATATTTGCACTGAGCCAGGGCAGACCAGAGACTGTACACTAACATTAGGGACCCCATGATCCTACACATACATTTATAGTAACAGTGACGTAGTGATATATTTGGACAATCCATAATATAATCCCATATAATTAGTATGAAAGATCAAGGCTATGCTCACACTCAGAGAGCAGCCGTCCTCCTGTGGACTCACCACCTGCAGAGGGTCAGTGAGGGGCTGGTGCTATGAGACTTGGGTGGCATCTCTGACTGCCACCCCCCTGACCCAGAAATGGATTAAAGGGTAGAAAATGGATGGATGGATGGATGGATAATTAGTATTAAATGTGCACTTTATTTTCCCCGTAGGGAAATTTGTCCTCTACATTTGACTCATCCTGATGCCGCTAAGGCCTACGTCAGGAGCAGTGGTCGCCGTAGTAACAGCGCCCAGGAACCCATCTCCAGATGTTGATGCTTGGCTTGGTCAGGACTACCAGAGCAGGAGCATTTAACCTTGTGAGCATATTTTTGGTGGTAGGGGAAACCAGAGCACCAGGAGGAAACCAACGCACATGGAGAACATGCAAACTCCACTCAGAGAGGCCCTGTTCTGACTGGGATTCGAACCCAGGACCTTCATGCTGAGAGGCGAGAGTGCTATCCACTCAGCCACCGTGCCGCCCTCTATTAGCTTTTGATCTTCTATTGTCACTGTTTTGTGCTGCATTCAGACATCAGTACTACTACTCTCTGGACTGGCTGAGTGGTTAGCATTCTACAGGATATACATTGTGTTGTGTACATTGTTTAATTTAGAACAATACATTTGAGCTACAAAAGCTACTAAAGTGTAACAACAATGTATTGGTCAAACAACAAATATCTACAGAAGAGAAGGAGAGGGAAACCAGGAGAGAAATGCAGAAGACACATTTACTCAATAAATTATAACATAACTTAACATGTTGGGTTAAAAATATTGAAGAATTTTTTCCCACTTCACTTAAGCTGTTGTTAGTAGTGAAAAAAATTTACAGATTTTTTTTTTCAATCATATGATTTTCTGATCTTATTTTTCTTCTTATCTTTAGTATCTCACAGACAGTCATTGAAAACCCAGGGTTGAGTCTAGCCCCAGGTGTGCCGTGCAGAGTGCAGAGTGAGGTAAACAAGTGCAGACAACAGGAAATGCACATGAGAAGAATATTCAGCTCTCATTTAAGTTTGTTGAATTTCACATGAGCAGATCACAGAGGAGCACTTACTATCCAGGTCGTACAGCACTTTGTTCTTGGCAGTGGCGTACTGGGAAATTAGGTAATCGATTTGCTGCAAACAAAACAAGACAAGTTTACTCACAATGACGGTGAAATATAGCAGCTGGTTGGTTTTCATAAATCAGTTCATGTTGTTCCTGATGCATCATGAAACGTGCACTTTCCAAGGCAATACCGTCACAAACATTAACGTTGACATTCAATACTTTATTTTAATGTGTGTTCATTCACATCCTGACTTTTCCACTTCACTTATTCAACAGAATAACAGGAGAGCATAAATGATTGAGATTGTGAATTTGCATTTCACAGAGAATCCACACATCAAAGCAGAGGTATGAGCTGATGTCTTCACAACTAGTGCGTTTCCTGAGGATTGGAGGTTGTCATAGATGTGCCATTGGTGCGTCCAGTTTTGGAAACAATTGCCATGTATATTCCAGAAGTGAACGCCCAGTGACAGCAGCTAAAACCAGGACTGAAACAAATCTAAAACCAGGTCCAAAACAGGGACTGAATTAGTTCTTTAAACCAGGGTCAAAACCAGGTCTGAAAAAGGTCTTTAAAGGGCCCATATTACACTTTTTGACTTTTCTCTGCTTTAAACATGATTACAGTGCTATTTGGCCTCATACACATGCCCAGAGAAGTTTTTTTTTTAATTGATTTTGTCAATCTTTAGTTAGAGAGCGATCTGTCTCCTTCACCCTCGAGAGGCAGTGAAAATAATACACAATAAGTTTGCTGTTTGTTGTCAAAAATAATAAACATAATAATAATACTAAAAGCCGGGAGGTGATTGACAGATCGAAACAGCGAATCACGGTGCACAGGCAGCTGCCGAGTCCAGCGTATGTCTGTGGTTTGGTCCCGCAGACACCACATGGATCGCTGCTGTTTTTCTGCTTTTCTCAGTGATTAAAAGTGTCAGGGTCACGTCAACTTAGAGAAAGTGTGTTTTGGGTGTAAATATGTGACGCACTATTTGGCCCAAAGAGGAAGAATGCTACTCGACTTTTTTTTCATGTGGATTTGCCTCTGTTTGAATGAATCTGTTCATCTGCGACACTTAACTAGACTGTTCCAGAACTACAGATACCATGGAACCGGACTTACTAAAAAACTGATCTGGAAACCAGTGTTATTCCCACACACAAAAAAACGCTATCATGGACCCCCCTGATCTGTGATTAAAGTGATGCTAACTCGACGTATACTTCTGTAAACTAAATAATCAGGGTCTGATTGTGGATCAAGGACAAAGGGCTCGATGTTACAAATTGTCATTGTAGAAAAAGTTTATTCTCAGGTCTGAAAGGACTAAGTACCAGAAATAAATAACACTTTTTAAACACTACTTAATCCTCAAGAAACATTACTTTGGGTTGGGATTACTTATATATACACTACCGTTCAAAAGTTTGGGGTCACCCAAGTATTTTCCATGAAAAGTCACACTTATTCACCACCATACGTTGTGAAATGAATAGAAAATAGAGTCAAGACATTGGCAATGTTAGAAATAATGATTTGTATTTGAAATAAGATTTGTTTTACATCCAACTTTGCTTTCGTCAAAGAATCCTTCATTTGCAGCAATTACAACATTGCACCAAAAACCAGACATTTGCAGCTAGAATAGTCATTTACCACATAAGCAATGTATAGAGTGTATTTCTTTACAGTTAAGACTAGTTTAAAGTTATCTACAGTGCTTTTCCTTCAAAAATAAGGACATTTCAATGTGACCCCAAACTTTTGAACGGTAGTGTATACATATGACATTTCCACACACACAGACACACAAAGTTCTATACTACAGCCTGTGTTGATGATAATGAATCTTTTACAGACGTACCATCGGTGTGTCGTTGGCGAAAGTGTGCAGGTCCCTCATGTTGGTGTTGACCAGTCTGCGCACGTTCTTCACCTGGGAACTCAGCGTCTGGTTGGAGGCGTAGGAACACAACACTCCGATCCTGGCGCACACACAAACCATGGATTCAGTATAACACTAGTATTTACAATCTTCACTTGACAACACTTCAATGACTTACTCTACCAAATGTTGCATTACGTCTACATGTTTTTTTTTTTTTTTTTACATTTTTCAAATATTTGCCGACCCATGACCGCAGTGAGAAAGGCTGGTGTGTTGTTTGGACGCGTGTTGGAGTTTCACCACGGGGGAAGAAGAACATGTCAAAGTAAGGTCCAAAACAAACGTTTAACTTTCAAAAAAGGTCTTCTACCGACCAGAGCGCGTCATAATGGACTACAGCAAGTTTATCATCCATTTTATCATTGACAGTTACTATTTGCTGATGATAAAGCATTAGTGGCTGACTCAGAGGAGAAATTGAAGTTGTTACGTTTTTGTTGGACGTTTTTGCTCTTCGGCCCCGCCACCCCGGCAGAATCATCTCTTATCACATATGTAAGTGTATGTTGTAACAGAGGTACACTTTGATATGATATGTCCAACACCAGTCATTTCCATACACTGAGCTGCTTGTTGTTGGGAGTACTGCTTTGAAATTATGGAGCACAATATAATAACCAAAAACTGTACAAAAAATTAATGTATGTACTCACAGTATTTAAGACAGAACTGACTCAAAGTTGTTTAACTGAAATTTTACTCGTTCATAGATAATGCATAAACTTAATCTATTTATTTCTAAGATTATTCTATATTGTTGATGTCAGAGAAAATACAATCTGACCAAAACATGATCACAAATAGACATTTTTGGATGAGTGTGTATTTAAGAATAATTTATTTTTCCTCTTTGGTGTAACTATATTTTTGTACATTTACAATCATATGGAACTTGTCTAATGAGAAGTAATACCACCAGGCGGACTGTAGGGGTCAGCGTGTGTCAGCAAATTTACTACCTCTCTCCCTAACATTTTCCAGGAAATAAAATAATGTGTGTGGTCTGAAAATGTCCAATAACCAAGTACACATCACATATTCATGCCATGTTACAGTCTGTATGAAGTTATACAAAATATGGAAAAACTATGATATTTTTAAAAATCAATCAGTTGATATTTAAATAATCAATCAGTTGTTACAGCTCTAGTGGTAATGCCTTTACTCAAAAGGCAGAAAACAGCATTGATGTCCATGAAAATAGGGTTCATCAAATGTAATGAGTTTGAGATGGGAGGATTCAGGCAGAAGGGGTGGGGGGGAGATGCTTGAGCCAGTAGTTTCTCATATCAGTGTGGATATTGAGTTATTGAAGATAACTCAATGTTGATTGATTTATTTGCCATTTGCAGTAAAACCACATTGGAATAAGTCCCCAGTCTGCACCAGACAAACTTATAAATAACTGGAATTGCAGGGTCTTTCATAGAAATTACAATATTTTTCTCTTGTGAAAAACACAAGTTAAAATGCATCTTACTCCAGCGGCCCACGCACCATGAACTGCTGCAACATCTCATCTATTCTCTCAAATCTACGACGTTCTTCGCTGGCAGCATAAAGCTCCTTAGTGAAATGTAGGATTCTCAGCCTCCCCCACAGACCCCAGACTGCCACCTTCACGTCACCTTTCTTTAATGCCAGTTTTGTAGCAGATATGACAGAAATATATTTACTGAACCAGGCCAGAGATTTGTATAAGCAGCTTGGCGCAGTATGGAATATGACGGAGACGCGGAGGTATGTAGGCTACAGATATGCTAGGTGCATTTGTTCTGTTGCTGTGACATAGTTAGTAGGAATCAAAGCATGATTCTATTCTGTAGGTGGGGATCACTTGAAATTGCAACTTAAAGATGGCGGACCTAACTGTTTTTCATACTAGATACACGTAAACGAAAGAGTCTTGTAAAATGTGGTGAACAAATCAGACCATGCACAAGCCGTATTCATCTCATTAGAAAACATGGTATAATTTGCATACTGATTCCCTGTGAGTCATTATCTGACTCTTTGGGCGAAGAGCTGATATGTTGAGTGAGGGTGGATCTCTCTTTTTCACTTTTCTGTCTGAAAAAAGCAGATCTAACAATGTGACAGAGGCCAAAATTACAGTGAAAACGTGTGATAGAAGCAAACTTTGATGCTTTGACTTTTTTGATGGTAAAAAACATTTCCCTGGAAACAAAACGAAAGAGGCCGTGAAGGATCCAGACATATTTACCAACATGTAGATGCTAAAGACGGATTATAGACACAATACTCATCAGAATTAAAATCGGAACTATTGGAGGATAGTTTGGAACAGGGGTCTCCAACATGTGGTCCAAAACGGTATTTTGTGGGCCACAACTGGACATCAAAGTTTAATGTCAGAGGCCCCCAATAAGAGTCTAATATGGCTCTCACTGGGGGCCTGTTATACATTCAAAAGCTGAAAACAACCACAGAATTTCTAATACTATAAACCAATGAACCCTAATCACAAATAGTAAGTAATTTAATGTAAACATTGAATAAAGCGGCAGCTGCACTCATTTTGTTCATGGAAATATAAAGATCTTTAAATATATGCTCAGATTCAATGAAAGTAATTTTCTGGTAAAAACAAATACCTTCATGATTATAAGAAGTCGCAGCACATGCAAATTATGAGCTATAAACACTTCCCACAAACGCTTTTCTTACTTCTTTTTCCTGTTTTTTTCTGATCGACAAATGTTCCCTTTCTATTTTTATTATTATTTAAGAATCTGAAGGTTGGACAGCTTAAAATTTAGGAGCTAAACTGGATGTGCAAAGTCAATTATCCTGTGCATTTTTAGTGGTTCATTTATACGTCTGCAGCTGCATAGATTTGTTTGCTCCAGTGTTTATATATTTGATAATAAATACACCCTTTAATGTGGTCCAGCCTCTCTAAAGACCACTAAAAGGTGAAAAAGCTGCTGAATAATACAAAAGGAACCCCCGTGTGTGCGCAGTAATGAGTGGGCTGTTGTTGCTCTGATCACATGAACACTGTGAATGTGTGTGTGCTTCCTTTTTAACTTCACATTGTATCGTTTGTCGTTATAGCAAAGAAACGTTCCCGCCACAATCTACTCATTCCGATAGTCTGAAAAATCTGATCTATAGCCAAAATACCCGTAAATACATATATAATAATAATAGCGCTTTTTTGGACACTCAAAGACGCTTCGCATGTCATTCTTTCACTCCATACACAGTGGTGATAAACTACTACTGTGGCCACAGCTGCCCTGGGGCACACTGACAGAAGCAAGGCAACCAGTCTGTGCCACCACTAACTATTCACACTCATTCTAGGCAATGGGGGTGACATGTATTGCCTAAGGACACAACAGCAGTTTGGCACTTTACAGCCGCAGCCGCCCCACTGTGGCATCAGGTGTTCCCAGAGGTTAAGTGTCTTGCCAAGGACACAACGACAGCAGAAAGTGGGAGTCGATGGTGAGAAAGTCTTGAGGTGGGCTCGAACCCACAACCTTCTGGCTCAAAGCCCAATGCTCTACCAACTGAGCTACTATTGCCCTAGAAACAATGAATTAGAGATAGAAGCAACTGTTTTGAGAGTGAGAAACTGATTCTATTTGTTCTTTTTGGTGTGGTTTTAAAGTCTAGATAGAAATCCACAAAGTTATGTTGCTCCCAAGTGTCTTATTTACAGACCACGTACGCAACATTTCAGGCCGAGGTCCACGTGGTTTGTAAGTAAGACATTTAGGAGCAACATAGCTGTGCAGATATTTATCCATTTTCATATTGTCTACTTATTTGAATCAAGCACACAAGAAAAAGCCATTGAAAAGTGCAGCCTTATTTGAAATCTTCTTTAAAGTCTAGATACCCACGGGTTAATCTGTGATAAATACAATTAGGCTCAAATTCATAATAATAAAAAAACACACTGTGATTAGCTGCTTTGTCTGTACTTTGTTGTCATTGCATTTAGGATGTCTCCAGACCAGCACTTCTCTGGTTCAACTCCTACCTGCACTCTCGTCGCCAGTGTGTTTCCTTTGGGGGCAGCCAGTCCAATTTCAGAGTCATTGAAAAAGGCATTCCACAAGGCTCCTCACTTGGTCCTCTTCTCTTCTCTATCTTTATTAATGATCTCCCGACTATCTGTTCCAACTGCACTATTGAACTTTATGCTGATGACACTGTTATTTACTGTTCCAATTCTAATATCCCTGACATCTGCAACTCTTTACAACACAACTTTGACATTGTTCAACACTGGCTCCTTTCTAACAAACTTCTGCTCAACAAAACCAAATCCTACTCCATGCTTTTCAAGAAGACCAATAAACCTCTCCCCGATTTAAATCTCCACTTTCTAGATCTGTCCCCAGTCAAATGTGTGGACAACCTTAAGTATCTTGGTCTTTGGCTAGACTCAAATCTTTCTTTCAATACCAATATTCACAAAACTGTACACAAAATTAACTATTCACTGAAAACACTTTATTAATCCATTGACTGCTTTAATTTATCTGCACGGAAAAGGATTATTTCACAACTACTACTTCCCATATTAGACTATGCAGACATAGTTTATCAAAATACCACCTCCACTTCTCTCCATCCTCTGAGCACTGCCTACAACAGCCTGTGCAGGTTCATTCTGCGCTGCCCCTACAGGACCCATCACTGTGACATGTACCGGCAGCTGTCCTGGCTCTCTCTATCCCAAAGACGTCACTCTCACTGGTTGTTTTTCATTTATAAATGTTATTTTTTTGGATTATCCTCTTTATTTAAAGCAATATTTAACCCCTTTTAATTCCTCTTATAATCTTCGTCACACAAACCAGCTTTTCTTTCACACTCCTCGTGTGAAAAAAGAACTTGGCAAATATGCTTTCCAATATAAAGCCCCAAACGACTGGAATCTCCTTCCGTGTGTGTGTGTGTGTGTGTGTGTGAGTGAATGTTTCTGTCCTTGTATTGTTTTTTTGTCTGTTATTTTATTGAATTTATTTACTGTAATTTTTTATGTTTTTTATTTGT